ACAAGGTTCCACACCAGGAAGGTTGGGGTTAATTTTGGGGGTTATTGTCATAGCTGTTAAGAAATTAGGGGCCAAAAAGGGTCTAACAAAAACATTTGTTTGTCAAGTTCACAGACAATAACTTGATTATAAGTGTATGGATCTCTATTAAATTTTAGCATAAGGTTCCATACCACAATAGGAAGGTTGGGATTTATTTTGGGGGTTATTGTCGTAGCTGTTTAGGAATAAGGGGCCAAAAACAAGCATTTTTCATGTTTCAGGACAATAATTGGTGTATAAGAGTATATATTCCAGTTTTCAAGTTGGTCTAAATCAGGGTCCAAAAACTTTGTTGGATTTCATGGTTTTTTTTAAAATGCTGAATCTATCCATGTATTTAGACTTTGGATTTTGGGCTCCTTTATCAAATTGGTCCACATTGAGGTCCAAAGGGTCCTAAATTGAACTTTTGTTTGATTTCATCAAAAATTGAACTCTTGGGGTTCTTTGATATGCTGATTCGAACCATGTACTTAGATTTTGGATATTGGACCATAAAAGGTAAATGTCCAATTTCAAATTTTTCAGTTCTTCGACCATATTCATTTTGTGTCACAAACCTATGCTGTGTCAAATATTCAATCACAATCCAAATTCAGAGCTGTTTTAAGCTTAAATGTTGTGTCCATACTTGCCTCAACTGTTCAGGGTTCGACCTCTGCGGTCGTATCAAGCTTGTGCCTAGCGGAGCATTTCATTCCTTTTGAAACTGTTTGGCCAAATGAAACCAAAAGTGGACGCAATAATTTGCTATAAATTGTATCTGACGATGCCAAACAATGAACCAACACAGCTGCCCTTACTATAAACAGAACATACATTCAGATGTACAATAGGCACGAATTTTCAGTTCTTATTTTACTGTATCTAGGCTACAAATTTCAATGGAATACCCTTAGCCACCGGATGGTTTGTATCAATATTTAAAATTCTTCACTTCTTGTGTTTTGTGAGTACATATCACTTATTGCAGTTAAGTGTATCACTTTGCGTCAGTTGTTCATTTTCATTATCTTTTACAAAAAAACTTCTCCTTTGAAACCACTCGACCTTTTCAACCAAACTTTAACTGAATGATCCTTACGATATCTAGTCTAAAGTTCCTGTTTATTGTTCCTGCCAATCAACCAACATGGCTACCATGGCTATAAATAGAACATAAGGGTATAATGCATTTATTGTCTACTATCTTGAAATCCATAAAAAAAAATTGGTTGAAACTGTAAAACTAAAAAACGATTAGCAATACACGATCTATAAAAATGCTTATATGGCCAAAACCATCGGATTACTCATTATAGGAGTCATTTCCCTTGAATAAAGATTTTTTAGGGTAAAGGTTGCATGAAATGCAATCAAAATCCTATGGTACTGACTTGATATCTATATCTTCAAAGATTTATCACTACCTTGATAGTTCAAACAAAATAGTGCAGTGAAGTGATCATTGTTTAGATTCTATCCAGTCAATGTCATGCAATTTATTGATGATATGTTATACTTTGATATTTAAGTTACAATATGATGATATTTAAATTACACAATTGTACCATACTTGTCAAGAACACATTTTATTATCAAGTTAAAAATTACATAAGTAATGCATGGTGTATGAATCTGTTATAAAAATAGGTTCAACTACAAATGTACAATCATGAACAAAGGAAGATAACTCCAACTCAAATTTTTAATTTGCCTAGCAAAATACAGTTCAATGTTATATTTAAAAATCCACAAAATTGCAAAATAAAAGCAATCTTTACCCTTCTGTGCTCACAAGCATTATTATTATTATTTTTTTTTCAGTTTTGTCTTTTACCTCAATTTGTTTTCACAGCTGAAGGATTCACACCCGCATGAGCCTATTTGTTTAGATCCTACCCATGGCCATATTAAGCTTAAACTGATATTCTTCTTTTCTTGAGATGTGCTTTTGCACTATTATTAGTTATTTATTAGAACATTATAGCTTACTCAAGTGTAAGTTTCAAAACTACTGAAATATGATCAGATGAGATCTCTATAATAGCACTCAAATTCTCAAACTCACCGACACTAATGTGAGTTAATCTTCCTAAAAAAAGGAAAACTGACAATCCTAGTCAATTAAGATTGAAGTCGAGCGCACCTGCCACATGCGGGATTCGTCCAACTCGCCTCAGTGTTTACTGGCTAGTGTATTGGTAAAGCTCCGCATGAGAAAGCCACATACAAAACTTACCTCGTATCCTGACCCGATGCCTAGTGAGTCCATGTATGATCTCTTAAGCGATTAGGAACTATTGCCCAACCCATCTGTGATATAATATTCAAAATTCGGGTTAAATTGACAATGCAAACTAAATTATTCTTAATTCGGAGATGTTTAACAGATGTAATATGTTTGACTACGAGACAACTTGCATGTGCCGAACAGTTATGAACTTTTCTAAATACCTTTGTTTTTATGAGATTTATTCTTTCGGAATAAATAGATATAGGAAGATGTGGTATGAGTGCCATTGAGACAACTCTCCATCCAAGTTACAATTTATAAAAGTAAACCATTATAGGTCAAGGTACGGCCTTCAACACGGAGCATTGGCTCACACCGAACAGCAAGCTATAAAGGGCCCCCAAAAATTACTAGTGTAAAACCATTCAAACGGAAAAACCAACGGTCTAATCTATATAAAAACGAGAAACGAGAAACACGTATGAACTACATAAACAGACAACTACTGTAATCAGATTCCTGACTTAGGACAGGTGCAAACATTTGCAGCTGATTTTCAGAGGAGGCAAAGGCTTAAATATTATAAAATTTGTACCTAAACAAACGCACACTGCATCGTATTCGTGTAGGGTTATATAATATATTCAAACGAAAAAATTATAAAATTTATTGAACTGATATTTGAAATTATTAAAGTGTTGAACCTGACCAGAGAATTATATTTATATATGTATCTGGCCTGATCTTAAGATACCATTCTTGAATGAAATCATGTTCAAAATAATAAAACTCATGTGAAACAAAAATAATAAAAGAACAGAGTTCCAATGTCCCCCGCGTTGCACTTATTTTATCTGTCCAAGATACAAGGGCAATAACTATAAAACCCTTTTTTTTTTGTTCTTTAAAACAAATTATAATATACTATAAGTAGATCTGGCAAGACTTGTACCCGCGAGAGCGCTAACGAGGCCATTTTCCATAAATGTAATATTTCCAAGGAGCATAATTCTTTAAAAAGTCGATCGGCCACCCTTATAGAACTTGTCCGAGATATTGCTGATATTAACCTATAGTATAAGTTTTATAAAAATCTGGCAAGAATTGTACACCTGAGAGCGCTGACGAGGCCATTTTCCATAAATTTAATATTTCCAAGGGTCATAACTCTTTTTAACTAGAGGCTCTCAAGAGCCTGTGTCGCTCACCTGTATTTACTGATGCTTTGGAAATCATGCAAAATAAGGTTAAAATCATAATTAATAGTATTAGATATTCGATATTATAATGATATCTAAGATAATAACAAAAAACTGTAAATTTCTGTAAAATTACTAACTCAGGGGCAGCAACCCAACAACGGGTTGTCGGATTCGTCTGAAATTTCAGTCCAGATAAATCTAAATCTGATGAACATTTTTGCCACCTGTCAAATTTGCTCTAATTGCTTTAGTTTCAGAGATATAAACCACAAACTGCATTTTACCCCTATGTTCTATGTTTAACCATGTCGGTCATGATGGTTGGAAGGCGGGGTCATCGGACAAATTTTTTAAACTAGATACCCTAATAATGATTAAGGCCAAGTATGGTTAAATTTGTCTCAGTAGTTTCAGAGAAGAAAATTTTTGTAAAAGGTTACAAAAATTTACGAAAAATTGTTAAAATTGACTATAAAGGGCAATAACTCCTAAAGGGGATCGACTGACAATTTTGGTCTTGACGACTTATTTGTTGATCTTACTTTGCTGAACATAATTGCTGTTTACAGTTTATCTCTATCTATAATAATATTCAAGATAATAACCAAAAAGTGCAAAATTTCCTTAAAATTACCAATTCAGGGGCAGCAACCCAACAACGGGTTGTCAGATTTGTCTAAAAATTTCAGGGCAGATAGATCTTGACCTGATAATCAGTTTTATCCAAATCAGATTTACTCTAAATGCTTTGATTTCAGAGATATAAGCCCAAATCTACATTTTACTCCTATGTTCTATTTTTAGCCATGGCGGCCATCTTGGTTGGTTGGCGAAGTCATCGGACACATTTTTTAAACTAGATACCCTAATGATGATTGTGGCCAAGTTTGGTAAAATTTGGCCCAGTGGTTTCAGAGGAGAAGATTTTTTTAAAAGCTAACGACGACGGACGACGACGACGACGGACGACGGACGCCAAGTGATGAGAAAAGTCGATCGACCACCATTATAGAACTTGTCCGAGATATGCTAATATTAACATATAGTATAAGTTTTATAAAAATCTGGCAAGAATTGCAACTTTGAGAGCGCTAACAAGACCGGACGGACGGACGGACGCCCGGTATTTCTATGTCCCCCGCAACGCGTTCGCGGGGGACAAAAACGCTTTTAACAATGTCCTATAATGATGTCACAAATAATTATACTGACAAAAATGATTTAAAAAAAAACAACCATAAACTCAACACCGTATAAGTGGTGGATTATGAGGATCTTTATTGTCGACAATTGTTACATTGGAAATTAACTGCTTTTCTAGGTATATGCATTTGCTCGTTGTACTCTGAAATTTGAGGTAGCTTTGTGTATAGAGGAATATACTCTCCGTCTGTTTTAAGACGAGAAAAAAAGATTTAAATCAAATAAAAAATTGACCTTCGGCTTTTGACACCAGTAGATAACCTAACGGAGGATGACCGCACAATGACCATATATTACTTAATTTATTAGATTCAGTCACCTGTAACAGGTAGGTTTGAGTAAGAATAGCCGTATATATTGTTAGTAAACAATATTGGATATTCAAGGATAAATTCATTAGCGTAAGTAGCCATGTTTACCCTTCAAAATACGAAATGCATAATGTTTTTTTTTTCTGTAATAAAATGTGTACAGTTATGCTGTTTGCATATTTGGCATAATTGCTTCCTGTAAGAAAAAAGCTTAAAAGCTAGAACAGGACAACTATTAAGCGAATAGGTAGAAAATGGGGACCGATTTGAAAATCGGAAATTTCCGACCATTTTCAGAGCGCATCATTTGGTAGATAAGGCAATTTTGTTGTGAATCTGCATTTAACGAAACCAACCATACTCCCCATCGGAGAGGGGACAGGGGACAGTGGTGAGATATTCATAATTTGAATAGTATAGGATGCAATTTCCAGAATACTCTAGTCATCATCTATTAAATATAATACTTTGTAGGACGCAATGTACAAATTCGTGTTATATTAGGGAAAATAATGTATATCAGAATATGATATTCTTTACCTTGACATAAATGTTATTGAAAGGCTTTTAAAAGATGGGCCGCAGTTATTAAAAAAGTCCGATACGGCCCTCAACGTACATCGAAGTGCAATTAAATGGTCATCTCGCAATGGAGCCGAATTAAATAAGCGACTGAGGTGATCTATATTTGTGTATGGTGATCATGTTGTGGAAGCCTTTTTTTGTTTGAAGCCTTTTCGGGTAGTTTCTCAAAAATTTCCAAAAATTATCAACGGAATATTAAGACAATTGTGTAATCAATTATGTCAGTACCGACACTGCTTGAGTTTCGATATTTAAAAAGAAGATGTTAGCTTTAGTACTCAGTAAATAAAGTTTAAAAGTCTTTATAAGAAGCCTCTAGGGATGTCAAATATCTATAGACTAAGAATTGCATAATAGCTATTTGTGAACTTGTCGCCGTACATTTATTACATGAATCGTGAATAATAAACAGATTCTGAATAAATAATGTCAAAGTTAACAACTTTTAACGGTTTCTCGAGCGCTTTGTTCTTGAATCTCGTTTGTTACTGAGATTACTAACACTGTTACTGAGATTACTATAACACAGTGTTATAGTAATCTCAGTTTGTTAATAGCATGTTTTTTCAACTAATGTTTCACAGACAATATCGTTTTATAACTAGCACTTTTAAATCTTTATTGTCATTGAACTAAATAAGTATGTGACAAATGTATCACACAAAAATACAATTAAAGCAAACATTAAAATATAAAATATATTATAACATGTTTCATGATCACACCCGTTTAGATAAAGGTATCTTGGCAGCTCCGATTCTAGTGTTGGTCGGAATAAGTTATGGTTTCTAAGAGCCAAACGTAGACATAGCAATTTTTTCATACAGGAAAAAATATCAATGCAAAATTATCCACAGTTTACATTATTATAGAAATAAACAGGATCCATCTATAGTTACGCACCTCATATAGTATTTTGTATCGGAACCATTTCGGGGTCCCCTTGCAATGCTTGAACTTTGCTATTTCTATTTATTAGATAGTTTTTCAGTTCTATCTATTATATAGTTTCTCATTTCTATTTATTAGATTGTTTGTCAATGTCAAATTTCCATTAGTGAAATGAAATGAAATTGGCTTCAAAACCCGCGAAGTCGTTCATTTTAAGTTGTAGAGTTACGGCCATTGCAACTTGGACGGAGGAAAGAAGAGGACCAACAAATCCTTATTTTTTATCATACTTTTAATTATGAAATCGAAAGTATGCATAGTAATTGAAACTTTTGAATGTGTTGACATTGTTGACATTCAAATAAGAAAATACGTAGCATCAAAGCGGCCTTTTTCAGAGTTATCGACTTGTTTACCGACTCTATTTGTGGTATTTATTTTTGAGTACGAAAGTTTTGCAATATACTTGCCTTATTTAAAAAACATGCAGTTAACTTAGTCTTATTTTTTTCAGTGACCATGCAGTCAGTTTATGCGGCGTTCCTAGCCACAGGCCTTGCTGTGGTTGCTTACTTTGGCCATCAAGTCTGGTCAGTAAATAAAGCACCAACAATGGCGGAACAAGTTAAACGAGAGCTCATTCCAAATGAGGAGTTCGTCAAACACTCAGATATATTCAACAAGAAGGAAGTTATAAAGGTATCATTTTGGTGATGTTTTACCTCTATATGTATTCTATATATAATGAATGCTTTCGACGTGTTGGATTTTTATTTACAACTACTGGGTCTTTTATACAATGCTTTAGGCCGTGAGCTAGGGCTGTAAGTATACAAGATTATAATATGTTGCTTTGCATATAGTATTGATATTTTGTTACAATATTTGACAGTTATCAGCCAATTCGATACATATCTCAGTAAATTACTTTGCAATCTGTACGAAAATCGTATTGTATCTCTATACGGTCACTTTTTTCTCTCTTAATTCCTCTCTTTGAAGTTTTGATACTTTTCTTTGACTTAAAGCATATGACTCAGCACATTTCTGATTATCCCATAAACTGGACTTTTATACCCAGCAAAACTAGAACGCACCAGTTTGAGTGTGTAAGACCGATATAATTTTCTAGTTATAAAGACATTGTTATTTTTTTTATATATATATATATAGAAAAATACTAGTCAAGCGACAGTAATAAAAAAGACATTTATTTTTGAAGCAGACAGAAGTGGAAAATGAACAAAAGAAATCGTAATGGTTATTTTTTTTAACGAAAGCATGAAATATCACACGTAAATCGTTTGGTGTTATATGAAGATATGTTTTCTTATAGCGTAATTATAAACGAAATCACTGAAAATGTAACTAGATTGTTGCTTAATCTACAAGTGTACTACGAAATGACTGTGTTCTCGAGCCTTATACGTTGCGGGGTAATAAAACCATGCAAGATTTTTTTTATGATTGATGACAATCTTATTTCAGGTAACGGATAACATCTATGTGGCCATTGGATTTGCTTTGGGGAACTCTATTATGGTGATCGCACCTGAAGGTCTAATTATTGTCGATGTCACTGAAAGTGTCACAGCAGCCAGAGAAATTCTCAAAGAGTTTCGGAAGATCACAAATAAACCGATCAAAGCTATCCTTTATACTCATCATCATCAAGACCATATAGGAGGAGCGCAGGTAAAACATAACAAACAAGGATCTGTCTCCATAGGACATCATTCCCGCTCGCTCTATGTTTCTATGTCCAGTGAACCGTGGGATAAAACAATAATTTGGCAAATAATTTAAAAAGTTCGAATCCTAATGAACACGTGAACAAAGTTTTAAGTTAATATGACCACAAATTCATGGTAAACTACATTGACCAAAACTTTTAAGCTGACACGGGGCGGACGAACTGCTGGTCGCACAGACCGGAAAACGTTATGCCCCTCCTATCATAGGCGAAGCATAACAAACACCGGGAAGGCATTTAACAAACGAACACAGAACAAATGTACTGAACAACAAAAAGTTAAATATTTAAATAAAATTGAGAATGGAAATGGGGAATGTGTCAAAGAGACAACAATCCGCCAAAGAGCAGACAACAGCCGAAGGCCACCAATGGGTCTTCAACAAAGCGAGAAAACCCCGCACCCGGAGGCGGGCTTCGGGTGCGGGCTTCAGCTGGCCCCTTAACAAAAATGTGTACTATACATAAATATAAAAATGTAAAATACAATTAAACAGAGACGGTAAATGATTATGTACAAAACAATCAATAATCAATGTAATATTAAAAAGCGACCAAGCACAGGAAAAGAGAGGCGAAAGACACAAAAAGGACATTCAAACTCATTAGTCGAAAATAAACTGACATTGCCATGGCAAAAACATAAGAGGAAAAAAGACCAAAAGTCAAACAATAGAATATAAAACACAACATATAGCAAACTAACGACTGAGCAACACGAACCCCGGTGCTCCGGAAATGTAAGCAGATCTAAGTATAGGAAAATGTACAAAACAAAACACAAGGAAGTGAATAATACATTTGAGCACAGAAAATGTGTAAGCAATATAGATAACGGAGGAAACTAGAAAAAGATACAAATCAAGCAAGAAATGTGTATAACAGTTCAAGCACGTAAAAAAGTTAAAAAAAAAAAAAAAAAAAAAAAAAATACTGAGAAAAATGCATTGGTAAACTACGAACAAGAAAATGAGAAAGTCAGGATAACATTTTTTTCTTTTCTATTTAAGGGATTCTTAGAAAAAGGTGTAGCATTGCCGGAAGTCTGGTCTCATCATAAACTACCAAATGAAGTCGCAAGTTTCTTCACTACATCATATGGAGCTAAAGTTCGACGGTCTTCACGACAGTTTGGTGTAATGGTACCAGCATCACGCAAGATCAATGCAGGGTTAGGTCTGAATTTACGATATGATTCGCATGGGTTCATTCCCCCCACCAAGTTAGCGACTGGAAAAGACACATTTGCTAAAATTGCAGGCAAGTATATGGTGATCTTTTATTTAAGAGCCCATCATTCGTAGGTTTATTTAACTCGCGAAATTTTCATATATTTATGACATTTTGACTTTCTACTTGTCTTCAAGGTACCAAAAAACATTGTCTTATCATTATCATACTTTTTTTTAGCTCACCTGGCCCAATGGGTCAAGTGAGCTTTTCTCATCACTTGGCGTCCGTCGTCCGTCTTCGTCGTCGTCGTTGTCGTCGTCGTCCGTCGTCCGTCGTCCGTTAACTTTTACAAAAAGCTTCTCTGAAACTTCTGGGCCAAATTTTACCAAACTTGGCCACAATCATTATTGGATAATCTAGTTTAAAAAATGTGTCCGATGACCCCGCCTGCCAACCAAGATGGCCGACATGGCTAGAAATAGAACATGGGGTAAAATGCAAGTTTTGTCTATTATTTTGAAAACCGTTCATGATAAATAGAGAAAATCTGACAGGTGCAAAAATGTTTAGAATGTTAAGCTCTAACAATTGTCTAATACGTCAAAACTGTCAGACGACTTCTAATAGGAGTTATTGCCCTTAAATGACAAATTTCACCATTTTTTCATTTTTGCCTATTATCTTGAAAACTATAATAGATAAAGAGTAACTTTAAAATTCAAAAATGATCAGCAAGACAAGTTCAACAAATAAGTCCTCAACGTCGAGATCGTCATACGACTCCTTATTAGAGTTATTGCCCTTTGATGATGATTTTTACCATTTTTTTTTGCGTTTTTGCCTTATATCTTAAAAATAATAATAGATAGATAGAAACTTAAATAAGAAAAACTGATCAGCAAGACAAGATCTACAATTAAGATGGAAATGAAGGAAATCGTCCGACATCTCCTTATTGGAGTTATTGTCCTTTAATGACGATTTTCCATTGTCTGTTAACTTTTACAAAAGTCTTTTCCTCAGAAAATGTTGGATCAAATGTAAACAAACTTGGCTACAATTATTATTGGGGTATCTAGTTTGAAGAATGTGGCCGATGACCCCGCCTGCCAACCAAGATGGCCGACATGGCTAAAAATAGAACATAGTGGTAACATGCAAGTTTTGTGTATTATTTTGAAACCTTCATAAATAGACAATATCTGACAGGAGCAAAAATGTTCAAAACGTTGAGCTTTACCAATTGTCCTCATACATCAAAACTGTCAGACGACCATTTTTTTCATTTTTGCCTATTATCTTGAAAACTATAATAGATAAAGAGAAACTTTAAATTGCAAAAATGATCAGCAAGACAAATTCTACAAATAAGTCTAATGGTCGAAATTGTCAGTCGACTGCTTATTAGAGTTCTTGCCCTATGATGACGATTTTTACAATTTTTTTTGCGTTTTTGCTTTATATCTTAAAAATTATTATAGATAGATAGAAACTTACATAAGCAAAAATGATTTGCAAGACAAGATCTACAATTAAGATAATATGGAGGAAATTGTCCTTTTTGGAGTTATTGCCATTTAAAGACGATTGATTTTCACCATTTTTTTTTGCGTTTTGCCATATATGATAAAAAATTATAATGGATAAATAGACACTTTAAATCACAAAAATGATCAGCAAGATCTACTAACACGTAAAATTTTGCCGATATAGTTAGTAGACTGTCACTCTTTATAGGAGTGATTGCTTTTAAATGATTTTTTTCCCTCTTTTGTGTTTTGAGCAAAAATTAAAGAAGATAGAGAGAAACTAAACAGACTAAATGATCAGCAATGCAAGATCATCAAAACAGATTTTTGTCATGACTTTTTTTCTCTTCTACAATTTAGAGAGTGTCCTTTCTTGAATATGCAAATAAACCAAGGTGAGCGACACAGGCTCTTTAGAGCCTCTAGTTCCTTTTGTGACAAAGAGTATGCTAACTTTTTCTAGGGTGTTCAAAATTGTATAAATGTTTTTGATAGGCTATGTTCCTGTTAATGCCAGTATGTCTTCTTTGACAGTAATTATTTCTCAGCTCTTAACACTACACTATCATAATATGTGTTCTTATCATACCGAAACTTTCCCTTTTATATCAAAATGATATATCTATATAGTTTTGTGTGTTTATTTATCTTTTGTAGTCATTACAATTTTCAAGAAAATTACATTAACCTTTTCATTTCTATATATATATATATATATATCTGAGGGTCTTGATGGGGGAAGCCATAGATTTCGTTATTTTTTGATTTATTATACCATTTTTCTCTATTCTCTATTTATTTTGCTCATTAGAAGATATTTTGTAAATCCCACCAGGCCCTTATATCTCTTGTTAACTGGATGTGCTGTTTTTTTACTGATTTGTATTCTCATTTCTAGGACTAGATGTGCATATTCATCATATCCCAGGGGAAACATCAGACCAAATTGGTGTATGGATTCCGTCCTGGAAAGCATTCCTTAGTGGTGATGATGTCTACAAAGCTTTCCCGAACATTTACACCATACGCGGAGCACCAGCTAGAGATCCGGTAGACTGGTATACATCTGTTCAGAAAATGCTAGATCTGGATCCTGATTATCTTGTTCCTAGTCACCATCGACCGCTCATTGGGAAAAATGACATTCGGAATGTATTAATTCCTTACAGAGATGGAATTCAGTTCGTTCACGACCAAGCACTAAGATTTATCAATAAAGGTTTGACACCTGATGAAATAGCAAAGCGTGTGAAATTGCCAGAAAAATTAGAGAAACATCCTTATTTAAGAGAATTTTATGGCACTGTCCCATGGTCAGTGAAAGGGGTATTTCAGCTGTATCTTGGATGGTTTAGTGGAGACCCAGTAGACCTTTTCCCCTTATCAACACCAGAAAAAGGCTCACGTGTCATTGCGTTGGTGGGAGGGGTTGATAATGTTATTTCCGAGGCTATTAAAGCCTGGAATAAGGATGATATACAATGGGCTCTTGAACTTGCTTCATATGTTCTTATACAAGATAAAGATAACAAAGACGCCAAGAAACTTAAAGTTGATGCTCTTAACTTATTGGGCAGCAGACAGATAAATTCCATTGCTGCTAATTATTATATCACATGCGCACTCGAGACAGAAGGTATTGTTAACCTTGAAGATGAGTCAAATAGGAAAAACGAGTGGCAGATAATCCAAAAGCTACCACTGAAACAGTTGTTCCAGATATTTAGTACTATGTTCACGCCGGAAGTTGGAGTTTGTGAAACAACTGAAGGAGTCGTCCAGTTTATCTTTTCAGATACAAATAATTTTGTGGTACTAATAATCCGGAATGGTGTCGCTATTATTGAGGAGGATGGAAGAGCAAAGAATGCGGATGTTACTGTAAAAACAACCGAGCCAAAACTTAAGGCAGCGTTTATAACGAGACTTGATAGAAAAGGAGACTTTACAAAAGATCTTGATATAGATGGAAGCATAACCAAGTTTAAAAATTATATGAATTGCTTTGAAGAAGATTTTCAGCTTCTTTTGCCATGAATATCAACGTAAAATTAAAGAAACAGTATAAATAAAAAATATCTCAGTTTAAGCAAATCATATTGTTTGATCCTATCAAGAATTGCATCAATTTTAAATTCAACAAATTATCATGACATCAAATTGTGTATTGCATAAAATAAATTGTTTGTGTTTGAAGAATCTTTTTACGATGGGCAAATTATTGAATCTTTACTGTTATTCCTGCAGTGTTAATTTTTTCCCATCGGACTACTTTTGAAACCAATAAATACCATAGTGCATATTGGATCACGTTACACGTATAAAAGATCATAAAACGTGTTAATATAATTTACAATCCTAATCGAACATACCAGTAATAAAAAAAAATTGAAAGAATAAACGCCTGTATACGGAGTTGCTGATTCGTTTTTGGATACTTGACCCACTTAACACATTTAAAAACTCCTGTTTTATCTAATAAATTAAATATGTATAAACTGATATAGTCATTGCTTAACTAAGATCTAGATGATTCTATAGGACTGCGACTCCTTTCATAAAAAATACTTTACGTGAAAAATATTAGTAGTTCTACTCAAAAGATTTGTTGGTGAAAAGAGTCGCTAATCCAACAGCTTTTCAGTATCCGACCCTCGAGAATAAACGCATATTATATTCTAGCAAAAAGTAATGCTACCGTTATCTTATGCGCATAATGATAGGTGCAGCAGATAACGCGAAATTTAAATAACGAGGAAGAAAAGATTTTTTTATATGTGTTAATTATCTTGTCTCATAGGTTATCCCAATACTGCTCATTAAACAAATATCATATATTAAAACAAACAATACTTTCCCATTAACAATTTATAGTTACTTTAATGAAATAAAGTTTCAGGTTCCGGCTATATCCTTCCTTGTACTTTGAACTAAAAAAATCATTTAAGTGGATGAAAGGTTATCATTTCAAATTAAACAAAATAATGACCAGATAGATAAATGACAAAAATATTGAAATTCAGTTTCGTAATAATTTGTTCAGTTTCGTTTTCACATAACTCGTCAACTGTCCAATTAAAGTCTGTCTCAGATTCTGAAATGAAATGTACAGTTTTTAATATTTCAGGTTTGGTAAAATTGGTAATATTTTTCATACAACTTCAGCTCGAACTAGTTAAATATTTGTTTAGAAATCAAATGAAATCGGCGAAAAACGTTGATAAATTTGTCTTTGAAAGCCACAATGTGAACCTTTTTGGCTGATCGAGTGAGCGTAGCGGCTGATATTTTATGATACCTATACGGAGAAAACCCGATAATCTGTCTATCGTTACATCACTGTTCAGTGTTCTTTTCTCCTTCCCCTTGACAGTTTTACGCTTGACGCCTCAGAGCCGTGATACGAGAATTACGGAGCGACTGCATAGGGTGGTGTAGGCGAAGGAAAGACGAAAATGTGAGTCTTACATAAGCTTGGTTTTGTTTAGAGGTCTTTGATTTTTATTCTTTATACTATTAGATGAGCAACGATTTCGCCGAAAAAGTTTGTATAGCAAATCCATCCAAAATTTAGCTATTAATATATTGTGTTTCGATCCCAAATTTCGCACATGCATTAGATAACTAAACATGTTCTGTTCATTAAAGTACTTTTGTTGTTTGATCTTTATCTTATCTGTATTTTCATATAAGTTGTATTGTGTTTGTGCACATAATAAGCAACAATACTTCATAAAAATAAACAAATAAATAAGCAAATTATATGTTTAAGAGGAATTCCGAAAGCAAGAATGTGAGAAAAAGTACCACACAATAGAAAAAAAAACAAGTAGGTAAAGTACAAAACATCAAACAACACTATGCGACTGAATGAAAAGGATCAATAGACACATAAGACATAAGATAAAAGTACACTTAGTTCACCCAACTATAAACCGAGTGCCGTGATGATCTAGCTCGGATACTCTGTCGTAGATTGATTGATTGATTGGTGTTTAACGTCATTTAAACACTATTGTGCTATTTCGAGGCGCTCATTTTTTTATTGGTGGAGAAGCCGGAGAGCCCGGAGAGAACCACCTACCTTCGGTAGGAAAACTGACAATCCTAGTCAATTAAGATTGGAGTCGAGTGCACCTGCCCCGTGCGGGATTCGAACTCACAACCTCAGTGTTGACTGGCTAGTGATAAAGTAGTTCGACTACTTGGACCAGGTCACCGAGGCCCCTCCGTCATAGAAAATACGCCTATATATATATATATATATATATATATATATAAACAAGTCTAAATTGAAAACAACGTTCAAACCTATGATTGCATTGGATAAAAACCGCAATTTTTATACGTGTGCATGTAAAACAAATTTCTTGGTAGAGGGGTCTAAATAAAGCACAAACAACATTTTCCAAATGACCAAAAAAGTGAAAAGTATATTTTAACAAAACGCATCTGACTAACAGGTCGAACAACTGATGTTCTTAAACCCTGCTGACTGCCATTGACGATTGCCAAATAAATTGATCACGAGATGTAACATGGATCTTAATTATTAATTTAGTACCAAACAGAAAACAATAAACTAGCGGAGAAGATGGTATACCGCAAACATGAGGTGCAAAAATATATATATATAGAAAGCAACCAGACTTTAATTTTGTGTGCCATATTCTGACGGGGAGAAAATCAGAGGAAGATGATTGTCTCTGACACAGATACTCTATTGTGGTTGTCAAGGCGTGATGGCAACCGCATGCCTGTAAAAATAATGTTTTTCAGTACCTAGCATTTTTGCTAGCAGTTACCAATCAGTTAAGTAAAACCTGTTAATAATGATGAGCTCTGAAATACATAACCCGTATATGTGATACATGTGCTGTTGGCATGTTTTTACAATAAATATTTAACATGTTTAAGTCGGAATTTGCAAAAATCATCCCTTTTTGTGTAAAACTTTTGTTTAGAAGTAGACCTTCAATATATTCCATTATATATTAAATATATAAACTTGGAAATATTTATCATTATTCGATAAAAGCGCTTCATCTGTCACGATAGTGACATTTATAGAAACAAAACTGGGGTTAGTATAGGATGGATCTAAACATTCGACTTCTGTACAGTTACACAATATTTATTTCTCTAAAGTTGAGACGAATTTAAAAATTAGTTTAACTTTATCGACATAAATTCAGATATCTTGTTAGAATAAGGAGCAAATACTTTATAAAAATCTATCAAACAAGAAGTTCTGTAAAACTGCCATCATTAAGATTCTAGTATTTATTGACAACATATTTGTTACGTTTGATGGACGTGTTATTCAACAGTAAGTTTAGCGTTCCTATATTGAAACAGCAGTGCTTATTATTATGATGCAGACTTTATACAAAGGCTACCCGACAAGACTGGAAAAAAAAGCTAGCATTATCCTTCCGCAGTCCTAATTTATATACTGTTATCTCACTGGATAACTTCTACTTCATCTTGACTTGATTGATGGACCTGTTGAGAACTAAAATTTACGACAAAAAGGAGGCGATTTCAATTTTCCGATTGTAATCTTTCCGTTTTCATAATGAAACATTCTTTAGGCACCTGAATATGAAGTAGATACCTCCCAGTTGAAAACGATATCCCAGAGCGTGTTTTTGATAATGATTATCGTGATAAAGAATTGCTGAACCAAGGGTTCTTAATAATAAAGTTGTAGTCATCACTTGTTATACTTACGCCATCATGATATAATAATTTATGTCACATATGGTCGAGCTAGCATGTTTAAATTGTCGCACTAAGCCATTACCCTGTATTCTTTTCAAATATATGGTATCTCAAATTATACTTATTAACATAATTTAATCTAAGCATTACCTTGAGCAAATCGATGGGTTCCCGTTACAAGTGGAGCATGAACTGCTTGCCCTCCTGATTCATCTCCTTGAGCTCAGGGTTGTTTTTTTTTTTGTGGTTCTTGTTGCTGAATAATTTTTGTTTAGATGTTTGTTGGATAGTTGTCTGTCTGTTCCGTGCCTGTTTTCTAATGCGCATGATGTTGGTTTTCTACTTCGACTTATGGTTTTTGGTTGCCCCGTGGTATCACCTCCTCCTTAAATTCTTATTTGAAATCTACGACTCTTCATGTTCATATAACTTACTTCAATAAACAGTTAGTGCATATCCTTATTCTAAAAAGACATGTGCGAAGCTTCCATAAAAAGACAAATATGTTCATTATAATAAAACCTTTTTTCAAAATTGATAGCATTATTTTTGTACATCGAAACGTTACCGAAACTACTTGACTGAATCAATATTCTATCATAATTATATATACATGCAGCATTATGCGCATTGTAGAATATTACATTATTTCATGATAAGGTTCCTCAAGTCTGGATTTTTCTATAGAGAAGGACTTTCTGCAAGCTATGTGTGTGACCAATCAAAAGGGCAAACAAGGACAGAGAGAAAAAACATGAAACACAAAATCATGATTCCAACTGTATATTTAGGTGATTTTTATGCTCTATGCTAAAGTCTGAAAACAATTCTTTGTAAATAAATAATTTAATAAACTATACCTGTAAAAAATGAAAACTTAATTTTAATGATAAAGGAAATTTAAAATATTTGTATCCAGTTTATACAAATGACGCCAATGGTGAAGTATGGTCAATAGAAATATGTTAACCTTCAAGTCTCTCGTCCGGTAGTAATCCCATGCGTTTGGTGGGCTATGTGGCATGCACTTATACGTATACGCACATACTTCTTGTCAGAATGGGACGTAAAATCCGATGCCTTGTGCGCGCAAAAAAACAATATCTGTATTGAAGAAAAAAACACGCGTCAGATCATTGTGGAGTACTAAGGTGGCATGTTGCATGGCAGAATTACCTTTTTCTTTACTGTGCCGGGCTCCTGTGCCACAATGTAACATATATCCTCTTTTCTGTGGCAGTCCGAATTATCCCATTTCGCTTTTTTTCCAGAGCCTACTTATTCTGTTAGATTCATTGTTGATTTGTTCAAGGAGTGAATATGCATAAAATATTGCCACTGAACGTTTTTTGCGTCTATAAATGCTGAAAATTCCGTTTTGGACACGGGCTTCGTCCTTGAATCATGATATCCCCTCCCAAGCAGCATTTGGGTCCTTAACTTCCTTTGCATCACCTGAAATAAAGGTCAAGCTATCGTGGCCACTGAACATGTAATGAATAATATATATATTTGTTTCAGAGGCATCTTTAATTTGAGTTTTCCTCACACAAGATTTATTGCATTTTATGCCTTTAAAAAAATTATGACTAATACATATATCAATTAGTAGTGTTTTTGTGGTTTTTTTTCAATTTGATCAATCCCTCATTGTATCGTAATCACTGGCTATTTTGAAATAAAATGCTGTGTTCCAAATTAAATTAAATAGTTTGTAATAAGTTTTCACGTTGATTTTTAAATATCCTGCTATTAAAATCTTTGGATCTAAAAATTGTTTTTGACAATTGCAAATTTTATCATTTAAATAAAGGGTTATACATATGGTTCTTTATACCTTGATTAGAGTACAACGATATCTTAAAATTATGGTAATGTATCATCCATGCAATTACTTTGTACACAGAAAAGTGTGTACTATGAAACCTTGTGCAGGAAAATTAAAGCAACTTGGTGATAATTTTTTAAACTTTCTTAAGGAAGGTGATCTATTTCGTCATGAATTGATTGATTTATTGATTGTTGGTTGCTTAATGTCCAGTGGCAAATATTTCATGCATGTTCAGGACGATGTCATGAATTGAAAAACTGTGATTATGTCTGAAGATAATGTGCCACCTATATATATATATAAACATATTCTGATAAATCTTTTAGTTTTTACTTTGAAATAATAAAAAAAAAAACACAAAACACAAAACCTATAATCTCTAATCTATTGGTTGTTGCTTTTTAATGCCTATCTGCTAGACTATATCTATGGGGACAAACTATCTTTATGTTTCAAATTTATTATAGTTTTAGTTTTACTGTGAAATTAAAAAATGTTTTCAAAACATGTAAAGCTTCCACTGCAATTTAATTATTGCCTGCTTTTGGTCAATTTATTTTGTCATCTTACCATGTAAGAAGAACATGTATAGTAAAACACCGCTTTATATCAGTATACATACTTACACCAGCAGCTACCATCTTTTCATTCTGGAGTGAAGGGCCTTTTGAAATCACATATTTTACAATAATACTAGTGAGTAGATTCACAAAACTTCGTTAATGAGCTCCTTTTTACAAACACCTGTGATACAAGTAGTCAGGCAAAATAAACTATCAATAGACCAATTAAAAGATTACTCGAGTTGTAAATATGTGCTAAATTGGATAGTCTATGAAAAGGTATATACTATGAAATTAAGAGCTCGGGGCAAGCCCCTCGCTCTAAATTTCATAGTATATACCTTTTCCTAGACTAACCTAGACTACTTCATTAATTAGTTTTAAAAGTGAAATAAATTCTAAATATATCCAGAGGCTAAGATTATAGTTTATGGTTAGAATAACGTTGACAGATTGAATGTCAATCAATTTGTATTGTTTTTAATCTTTTGTATTTCTATTTAATCTGTAGAACTTGAATTAATTAAAAAAAAAATGACACTGAAGATTGTTATATATGTTATACAAATCAATATTGAGCAATGATAGACCTGTATTTAATTTTCTTAGAATAATTATTATTTGCGACAAGGCTATGTATAGTCTTACCAGAGATGTTTATATTCATGTATGGTTTACTCCTGGTTTGCCCACATTTAATTATACCAATTATCTATTAGTAAAGAAAACAAAAAAGACAAAAGGTTTAATGAGCATACAATTGTATAGTCTGTTCCAACTTAATAGGTTTATAGATTATCTGTGTTTTCTATATATTCAGGTATTTTTCATTTTGTAGTTTATATTTCTATAGATAAATGATAAATAAATCGAAATTTTTTTCTCAATAATTTAATATCAATTCAAGCGATTCATTTGACATACAACTAATAACAAAACAATTATGATATAAATACACCAATATATGATAAAATTGTCTTTTATTGCAGACATAATTTATTTTATTTATGAATCAAATTTATACATGCATTGCATAAGGAAATAAATTAAGCACTATGGTGAAAATCAAGTAATAAGGGGCACTATATGTGACCAAACATGAAATTTTGGGTCCAAATGAGGTCCATGGTGCAAAATGAGATTTTTTTTCTCAATAAGTACCTATTTGTAAGAGAAACATTACTGCAAATTTTTAGAGTGATACGGGCTGTAGTTTTATAAGAAATAGCCTTTTGTTTCAAATGTTTTATCTCAATAGTGAAAAATAACAATTTTGCCCTTGTTTCTGGTATTTGGTGAAAACTTTAAAAAAAAAAAACACAGAATACAACAGCTGTGTTTGTTATTACATCTGTCTAATTGAAATAAAACCGCAAGTTTATTGTTTTCTGTTTGGTATTGAATTAATAATAAAGATAGATTTTGTTACATCTTGCGATCCGTTTATTTGGCAATCGCCAATGGCAGTCAGCAGGGTTTGAGAACATCCGTTGTTCGACCTGTTAGTCAAATGCGTTTTGTTAAAATATACTTTTTAACTTTTTTGGTATTTTGGAAAATGTTGTTTGTGCTGTATTTAGACCCCTCTACCAAGAAGTTTGTTTTGCATGCACACGTATAAAAATTGCGGTTTTTATCCAACGCAATCATAGGTTTGAACATTGTTTTTCAATTTAGACTTATTTATATATATATATATATATATATGAGTCTAAAAGATTGTGTAACAATACCGATAAATAGATGGAAAACAAAACACTAAAAAGTGTTTAATATCATCGCACAAAGATGGAAAAACTGAACAGATGATATAAATTATACAATAATTGCAAATATTTCGGCTCAACAAATGGCCTTCCTCAGTGTTAAAAGTTTTAACAATATCAGTATTGTTAAAACTTTTAACACTGAGGAAGGCCATTTGTATTGTTAAAACTTTTAACACTGAGGAAGGCCATTTGTTGAGCCGAAATATTTGCAATTATTGTATAATTTATATCATCTGTTCAGTTTTTCCATCTTTGTGCGATGATATTAAACACTTTTTAGTGTTTTGTTTTCCATCTATTTATCGGTATTGTTACACAATCTTTTAGACTCATATAATTTTCCCTGTTTGTGTAGTATTGTCAATTTTGATGATCCAATACCTATTAAGTTTACTGGTTGGTAGATTCTTATAGACTCTATATATATATATATCTAGGTTAAACAATTAACAAAAAGAAATGATACCCTGTCAACATATCTCTTTAAAAAATAATGAAGTAAAGGATTTGAAATAATTATATATATTTAACAATCCTCATAATTTATTGTTAAGGCAATGCTGGGCATGTACTTTTCCTATTTTTTTATTTACAATGTCCAGCTAATTTACAGTGTCCACATTTCCTTTTTTTGTCATTTTCTATTGCTGATTTAGCAAGTTCAGTTATGGCACTCTTGCTATGGGCAAGTTTCTATATTTATGCAGCATGGTGCTACTTCTGTGTGTGAAATTATTAACAGCTTGGGTGTAAATTTCAGAACAAAGTATTTATTAAAATCAAAAAAAATAAATACAGTGAATAAATAAAAAGAATTTTAAATGACACTTATTTATTCTCAAGTTTCATTTATTTACTTTTTACATATTTTGTTTCGGAATGTACCAACAATTTAAAAAAAAATGTCAATAATTTGTCAAACTAATGAACATTTTTTGTATTTTTGTTGTAATATTTGTCAAATTCATTACAATTTTCTGGTAAATTTATAAAATATCTTTGCAACTTTTCCTTGATTTAATAGTAAAATTAAGTATCTTTTATAAAATTTTACAGGTAAAATAAAGATCAAAATATGACTATATATCAGAAATAAACTATAATTGTTAAAACAACAAAACACCCTATGTTTTTATAAACCTGCGATTAAATGTGGGCAAACCAGGATGACACCTCATGTATATATGTCATATATGTCTCTGGTTTTTACTCTGAGACTACTATAACTGAACATGTTTTATAGTAGTCTCGGTTTTACTGCTACAAATCTTTCGTGAGGTTTAAAGTAATTTTTACAAATCATTTTTACCAAGTTTTTTGACATAATAATATTTTAAATCGACATATTGTCCGGTTGTTTGTATACTTTAAGATATTTATTTTTCTCATCAAGTTCTTTCCCTTAGTACATGCAACCCGGAATTTTTTTCATATCCATTTTCATTCATGTTTCTTCGTGTGACGTCTTGCGCAAACTTATGCGCACTGTTTACATATTGTAATGGAGTGTTGATATTGTCATTGAAACGACGAAATGTGTAAACTTTTGGAGTTATCCAGGCCTCCATAATAATATATTATAAGTTAAGTAAACAGAAATGGCACAGAAGAAAACGAAAGGAACATTAGATGGAAAGATCGCTGGTCTATATGATCTGGATAAGACGATCGGCAAGGGGCATTTTGCAGTTGTCAAACTTGCAAGACATGTTTTTACTGGTGAAAGGGTTGCAGTCAAAGTTATTGATAAGACGAAACTTGATGAAGTATCTAAATCACATTTATTTCAAGAGGTTCGGTGTATGAAATTAGTTCAGCACCCAAATGTAGTTCGTCTTTACGAAGTGATAGATACTCAAACTAAACTGTACCTTATTCTAGAACTTGGAGATGGGGGAGATTTGTATGATTATATTATGAAACATGAAAAAGGTCTAGGTGAAGATTCAGCACGGAAATATTTTAGGCAAATTGTAGAAGCAATTTCTTACTGTCATAAATTACATGTTGTACACAGAGATTTGAAACCTGAAAACGTTGTGTTCTTTGAGAAACAAGGAATAGTAAAATTGACAGATTTTGGCTTCAGTAATATGTTTAAGCCAAGTGAAAAACTTGAAACTGCCTGTGGATCTTTAGCATACTCAGCACCAGAGATTTTACTAGGAGATTCTTATGATCCTCCAGCAGTAGGTGAGTAAAACAGTACAAGCTTGATATTGCAAATCATAAAATTGAGAATGGAAATGGGGAATGTGTCAAAGAGACAACAACCCGACCACAGAACAGACAACAGCAGAAGGCCACCAACAGGTCTTCAATGCAGCGAGAAATTCCCGCACCCGGAGGCGTCCTTCAGCTGGCCCCTAAACAAATATATATACTAGTTCAGTGATAATGAACGCCATACTAAACTCCAAATTGTACACAAGAAACAGTATGCATATATGTACATGTAATATTAGCTTTCAAGATGCGACGGCCATATACAAAATGTACTTCCACATTGTCCATAGGATGTGTCAGCCATACCGCCACATCGTCTATAGGAGGTATAGTCCATACTTTAAGTATTTATTCCATTGTGGTTATAACATGAAATATAATAATACAACAGGTATTATTTCATACATATAGATTCTACCACTGCATCGAGTGTGATACGATATTTATCCACTCGAGACAGTTAAATTTTCAAATTTAAAATGCGAGGCTCGCCGAGCGTTTTAAATATTTAAAATTTAACTGTCGAGAGTGGATAAATATCGTATTACACGAGATTTGGTGGTGGAATCTGTTTCTCTAATGATTTTCAAACAATACGCAGGCAAATTTATTCCTTCTTTTCGAATGATCTGCAAAAAGATGTGTTCTTTATATGTGACGTCATCAGGCATGGTCGCCTTTTTTCATGCCGTCACAATTGGAAATTCAGAGCCAGAGGAAAGCAAGAAAATTCGACGTCATAATCGGATTTTAACCAATGAAGAACTGAGATCAAACGAACCACACGTTGATTAAATTTTTTTTATACAATGGGTGCAGAAAGGGATAAATTGACGAAGAATTAGAGAAATGTAGTTATAGCATAACTATGATTTTGTAGTATTTATTATGTATAAGTTTGCCGGTTTGAAAGAGTCAGTATAGATCAGACTACAATGTATATATTTATTTTTACTTCTGTCATCTGCTGAAGACAAGTAGACTTATAGAAGACTGGTTTTAAGTCAATGCTTTTCATATTTCATCCCTACTATGACTTTGACTGCTTAAACAGAGTATAAAATTTATAAATAAATAAAATTTAATTCCGGAAAAAAAACATGGTCTTCACAAAGTATGGACGATGTTGTCCCATGGCCGATACATCCTATGGACGTTGCGTCCTGCATTGCATTATTAGAATCCATGACAACTTGCCTCAACTTTCTACCAACTCGCCCCACATATGTACATTTGTAAAGGGGTTTAAATCCCACTGAATTAAGGCCTGCAAACTCTCACCACTCATATCATAACAAAGAGTTAAATTCGACTGCTACTCGATCGCCCCACTTATGAAATGTAGTTTAATCCCAATGATTTTAGGCCCACCAACTACTCACCCCACTATTGAAAAGTACATGTAGTTTAATCCTGATGTATAAGTTCTCTGCCTAATTACCCCACTTTACTTATAAAAAAAGATTTAAATCCTACTGAATTTAGGCATAACTTCAGCAGGATTTCATTCTTTATTTTCATACATGTAAGTTGGATGAGTTGGTAGGCCTTAATTTAGGGTGAAATTAAAATTATTCCCTTTCTTCAGTGGAGCAAAATGGCATGCCTAATTTCGGCTGGAATTAACTCATTTTCAATAGTGAGACGGGTTGGTTAAATACATGTAACAAGAGTGGGGAGAATTTGGCAGTGGAGCTGTCTTGCTTCCTATTAATATTACAATGTATCCTAGGAATAGCTTTTATTCACCAGCCTCAAAGATTCATTTTAACTGTTAAAAAGTTTATTGTCTTCATGGTCATTCTTCAAATCATATTTTTAGCAACATTTTACCTTTTAAATGTTAAATGTACACCAAATGTATATTGTTCTCTTTATCAAATGTTGTTTTGTTACAAAGGACTGTTAATCATCATGTCTTTTCCATGGTTTCTATATAAATATGTTTTTGCAAGTTTAAATTTTAATTTGTCCTTTTTATAAAATTAAAGCATCTCTCTTATGCGGAAATAAAAGTGTTATGTGTACATGTACATGTACATTCTTGCAAGGGTTCATACATGTATATAGATGTAGATTTACTTTGGAACCTAAAATGCATTGTACCCCAAAACACTAAAAAATGTTTATGAATATATATATACAATGTATATATAAAAAATAGTTGTTTTTCACAAGGAAGGTAACGTTTAATGGATATTCGTAAGTGATTTTGATATTTTTTGGTGTTATGTGGAAAATCTATGGACTGTTCTTGCATCCATGAGGTAATGTGATGTACATTGTGTATATGAGGGAAAATCAAAAACCTTTCAAATCAGCTGTATCCATAGCCATGGACCAGACTTATAAAGTTAGATTAATCCTGTAACTGACAAAGGGGTGTTCATGCATATGGCGCCTCTAGAACAGTTATGTAAATACATGTACATGTGTGTCATCTACATGTGCATGTAAGCATCCTTAGGCTTATGTTATCAACACCTTATCCATGTTTTCTGTGTTGTTTAATCCAAATGAGATGACCATGAAGACTTAAGTCAAAATTGTTTGACCTGTAACACTTGACTAAAAATTTATCCCTCCTGTCATTTTAATATTTTGTGTAGTTGTACATGTCAAATTGTCCGATTGTTATGGTACCCTTTGACAAAAGGGTTGTTGTGATACATGTACGTCATGTGTACTTTGTTGTGAAATTGGAAGTTGGTAATATACAGAACATGCAGAAATACATATAGCGATACTACATGTATCTATATAGTATATTCAATAGGTTTACAGTGAATGCAATGCATCTTCAATAAAGTTGATACATGTATATTTATATTCACTGTACCTGAACATGTATGTATATATATATAGATATATATGTAATTATTCAAAATAAACTTATAGAAATTCAATGTAGATCTATATACATATACATGATATATGTGGGTCCAACACAAGGCTGGTCAAAAACCGGTCAATACTATATATAGCTATAGCTAGTATTGACCATGCCAGCAGTACTAGTAAATATTGAGAAATACTGGAAAATACAATGTACTAATCAATTAAAATTTTGAACCAATGTACATTGTACATGTATTTTTAGAACCAGTGACTCCCTGTTTGGTCAATTACTGTTTGAAATGAAACTATATTAAAAGGTGTTAATCAGTATAAGTCATTTTAAAAGTTCTCTTTAAAAATTTAGATAAACTGTGATTTATTAATTAGTATTGGTGCTTTTGCACAGATTTTTGTTGTTGTCTTTTTAATGTTTTAAAGTATTTAAGTTAAATTGTTCAAAATAAAGTCTTTCATTTTAATGCCTGAATGTTCAGTGATATGTTGATTATGTTCTACAAAAATGTATATATATTTATATGTACATGTACATGTAGGTAAAAATTAATTGTGAAAGGGTAAAATCATGCCTCATTACATGTATATATATTTTGGTTTGAAACAAAATGCCTGAAGTAAAGTGATACATTTTATGTTCTATATATGTACTCAAGTAAAAATTAATCATGAAAGGGTAAAATTCATTCCTCATTATATATTTTTTTGGTTTGAAACAAATCATCACAAAAACCATAAGAGTAAATTTAGGTCCTTCAAACTTTTCATTTCCTGTGTTTATAAGATTTTTGGTTTCACAGTTGAATTAACAGGAAATATTTTATTGTTTACTTAATTATATAAGTAGTCTTCAAATACCACTTTATAACATTCCCCCCCCCCCCCCTTCTCATATGTATGTCAACATTTATTGGAGGCTGTATTGTTGTTTCAGTCATTAAACTTTCACACCTACATTTTAGGATAGTTGGCCAGGTGATAGGTGATAAGGCATTTAACATTTAGTTAATAAATTTATAAATACATTTCTACATTTTGTACTGCTCTCTCAATTAACATGGTACATGTAAAAATGTTATCTTCATTATCATTACATGTTACAAGGCAATAAAAGTACTCAAAATAGACACATTCAAAAGCAGTTGTGGCATTGCATAGACTACAATAGTCTACATGTATTAAATTTACTGATGCAAATCCCCTGGCCTTTAATTAATTAAATATATATAATGACCAATAAATCCCAATTACGTGTAATTAGGAAGTAGCAATTACAACCAATTATTAATCTTTTAAAGTTTAAACTTAAAGTTTTTGTATCAATTTATTAAAAAATAAACATGTATTACATTGTATCTGAATGTCCTTCATGTTAAATTTATCTTTTTGTAATTCAGTCTTCACGATCAACCACCGGCCCACCAGCCCAGGCTAAATGATAGGCTTGTAAAAATGCTGTTGGGCCTGTTAAAATCATATATATATACTGGCCAATAGAATCTTACATGTAACTAAAATTTTCGTAAAATTCAGCTTCTGGTCTGTAGATTCTAAAGATTATCGTGAAGCCTGCTTGTTGTTTCTGGTTGTCTTTTAATGCTCATGATTATTGTTTATTGTGGCTTCTTTTCACTAAATTTTAGGAAACCTGCTGTAACCAGAAGGAATTATTTTTGGCTGCTCTTATAAGACTCTGATTCAGAGCCATGTCAAACATGAGTAAAAAAACCTATCAAATAACTAATAACAGTAAATTAATTTTTTTAATTAAAGCTGAAAAGAATGATAGTGTGAAAAGCAGGCAAGCTTTTTTTCTTGTATTCTTAAAAGATACATGTATAATGACTAAAACATTGTTACAATCCTATGGTATAGCTGTTTTCCAATTATTGAAGGCAGTCATTATAAGTATGGGTATCTCTTTACATACATGTAGTAGCCTATATATAATGCTCTATTTATACATGCATAAACATGTAGACAATCCAAAGGGCTGTTTAACTTTTAGCCTTTTTAAATTATTTTGTATCTACCCAGCCATTTACCATGTGTCCATTAGACAAAAAGCAATGCACATTGTATATTATCAATTAGCCCTTTTTCTACATTTTGGGGTCATAGCATGCTGCCCCTAAGGCCTTGCATGTAGGTTGCAATTGTGTAGCCTTGAAAAATAATGATTTGAAGAAAGTTAATGCCTGTACATGTACAAAAACTTAACTTTAGTATGTGTACGTAGCTATATATATAGTGAACAATTACATGTATGATATATAGTGCATATACATGTATACACTTGTCTTAATTCTGGCCTAGCACCTCAAGTATTACTAGTATTAGTTGACTGATGTCATGGTTGTAAGTACATGTGCAAAGTAATAACATGCTATGACCCAAATATGTCAACTTATGCAATATGGTAACTTCAAAGGAATCTCATTCTTGTAAAGTCACATGCACAGATGTACATTTTAATTAATACATGTAACATTAATTGACTTGTGATAGTACATGAACATTTTGTTCTAATGAAGAATAAGTTTTAAGTAACTTTAAATACTTAAATTGTTTGTCAGTCTGTTTTTCCCAATTTATGACAGGTGATAAACGTATACTTTATACTGTACATGTTCATGTATCTCCTCGTTTTGTCCCTTTGTTTGTATAATATTTATAGTTTAAAGTTGGAGCTTCGTGTACATGATAACTATAATACATGTACATGTACAGAGTAGCAGAAAAGACAGAATGGACCATACTGAACTTTTCTTGGACCTCTGAATTCATTATCAACTCTTAACTGCTGAAATTTAGGGTTGGCTTACAAGAACGTTAACATGGTTAAAAATCTGGCTATTTATAAATTTTTTATTTAAACCCCTGAGGAGTCGGGTTAACATACAAAAACACTTCAAATAAAATGTCTTCATGGGAGTTCTTTTGAGTTCATGTACAGATTAAATAAAACTAAATCCTAATCTTAGTGAATTAAAAAACGCAACATTAAAGGTGTATGTACTTTAAAAATAAACACAGAAAAACATTAGTTGTCTTACAGAAGCCAGTGTTTGAAACCTGTCCAACATTTTTGTTATTTTGAGAATGAAAAGTATAAAAATATATCAACTGTAAGCTGTGTGGTTATAGACAAACCAAATGATCTACATAACCATGATTACAGGGTTGAATAAGAAATTGAAATTTTTCTAGATTATCAACATGATTAAGATCTCGTTTATCCTTTTGTTTTGGTGAAGATTCTCGTCTGCCAATCGGATGGGTTTGATTTGTTGATAACTGATAAGTTGCACAAGGTTTACTTCCGCTGCAATCATTTATATTGTATAAAATATTATAAATAAACTTGGTTTACATGGTTAACTGACAGATCTCGGCATTCCATTAAAATCTTTATGCAGCAAGAGTCTTTAATGTCAGATCTGTTCCTTAACTGATGATCAACAAGAGTAACATGTACAATGTAGACTGTAGGTTAGTGGCATGCTGAGAATGATACATGTATATATAAATACCAAAATATGTGTGATGAGGTTTTTACTGAGGTCTGATACTTACTAAAGAACATTCTGATACATCTAACAAAAGTTAGTCAGGTCAAACTAATTAATCATTTAGAATAAATGTGCAATAAGTGAATAACCTTTGGAATTGCACTCAACTGACAAATAAAAGTTGTACACATACGTTTTCACTTTTGCTATGCAATAAAATTACATTTCTAAGAATCCCAAGTAGGCAAGTGTTTACAACTAGGTGTTTTTTTTTAAGGGAGGGGAGGGGGGGTACATGCTTGTTTTCACCTTTTTGATGTTATAGTTAACGTTGCTCTTGAAGTAAGTACATTAAAATTTCTTGTGAGTATTAATCTAAGAAAGATTTGAAATACAAAACATTGTATATCATATGTATACCAGTACATTTACAAATATAACTCTCCACAAGAGACCAAATGACACAGAAATTAACAACTATAGGTCACTGTATGGCCTTCAACATATATATATAGTTCTTTTAAGGAAGATGATAAGATCCTAACTTGACATTAATTACTACTGTGGATTCATTATTATTTGTTGGATACCAATTTTCGTGGATTTCGTGAGTACAGATGAACCACTAATATAAATGTTCAACAAATTGCAAATTTTCTATAGGTTTGTATGCAGACTTTGGCAAAACCAAGAAATTAAATATCCACGAAAATACAGGGATTTCCTCAATCCACAAAAATCGGTATCCACGAAAATAATTATAAATGAATCCACAGTATTATTCCATTATTTGTTTTTATACATTCCTATTATCACATTTTATTTTTTTCAGATGTTTGGAGTTTAGGAGTAATTCTGTTTATGTTGTGTTGTGGAGAGCCACCATTCCAAGAAGCCAATGATAGTGAAACATTAACCATGATATTGGATTGTAAATACAAAATGCCAGTTCATGTATCACAAGAATGTAAAGAGTAAGTCATCAAAGTACTGACATACTGTTCTCTCCTTTGTCCTTTATCCATGATATTGGATTGTAAATACAAAATGCCAGTTCATGTATCACAAGAATGTAAAGAGTAAGTCATCAAAGTACTGTCATACTGTTCTCTCCTTTGTCCTTTATCCATGATATTGGATTGTAAATACAAAATGCCAGTTCATGTGTCACAAGAATGTAAAGAGTAAGTCATCAAAGTACTGACATACTCTCCTTTGTCCTTTATCCATGATATTGGATTGTAAATACAAAATGCCAGTTCATGTATCACAAGAATGTAAAGAGTAAGTCATCAAAGTACTGACATACTGTTCTCTCCTTTGTCCTTCATCCATGATATTGGATTGTAAAATGCCAGTTCATGTATCACAAGAATGTAAAGAGTAAGTCATCTAAGTAGTATCATACTATTCTCGCCTTTGACTGTCTATTGTAAGGGAATGTTTAGATTTTGTTAAGGTTGGAAACTTTTGTCAGCAAATTAAAGGTCATACAAGTTGCAGTGATTCTATTTAAGTAAACTAGGGATACCAAGTATCAATCCAATGAAAACTATACCCCATGAAACTTAGGATTTAGTGCAGAAACTTTAAAAAATCCTCTTTTAAAAAAATGCTTACAAAATTATGTGGTTTATGTACATGTAGTTAAAATGATATTTACCTGTAGGGCAATAACAATATCTGTTTATGCTGTTATATGATATTGACTACTATACTGGTGCTTTATTATTATGCCTCCGCCATAGGCAAATGGGACATTAAGTGTTACTCTTGACCCAACTTCCGTAGTCCCATTTCCTTTCCGCACTCTTAACTTAAGTTTTGTCATCCAAATTTTGTGAAACTCCTACACAATGCTAAAAACCAAAATTTACAGACAGATTTCGAATTTTGGCAGCGTGTCACTTACTGTTCTAGAGTTATGGCCCTTTATAACTTGGAAAATTGCTATTTTTTTTGTTTCCGCACTCTTAAGTTTGCCTCATCCAAATATTATGAAACTCATACACAATGCTTAAAACCACAACACACAGACAGAGTTTAAATTTTGGCAGTATGTCATTAACCTTTCAAGAGTTATGCCCTTTATAACTCTTAACTATTTCCCCCAACCTGTATGAGTACTGTATGATAAACATGTACAGCTAATAGTGGGTGATACGATTCACTGATGAACCATGATATTTTTGCTAGGTGTGATTTATCAATTCAATTCATTCGTATTTAGTATTCGTTTTCTGTCTGGATAAAATCCAATTGTTTTAATTTTTAATGGCCAACCAAAATTCATGTTTCCAATTAAATTGTTTCGAATTAAATGCCACTATGAAAATGGCTTGCATGGCTGGGTCATTGGGAGATGACAAATTAATGTATTTTAGCTACGCTAAAGGAACATTAGGTTTAATAAACACCAAACAAAAAACCCAGGAAAAAGGTACACATAGTTTTCTATGAGACTTCATGTACATTTATTAACTCAAGGTTGGGTATTGATTATAAATGTATCATATCAAAAGGTATAGTATTAGTTAGCTAGGAGTATCGTACAGCACTAACGGGTTACAATAAACCAGTACATGTATGCATATGGCTGAAAACATTTTATGATTAATGTATCATGCAAGCTGTTTACAGGGCTTTTTTTAGAATAAAAAATTGTTTTTATTATATGATATATATATACATACACAATGATAAACTAGATACATGTAATTCTAATTTGATATAGGAATTCAATTACACATGTTACAACTATGAATGCTTTCAGACCTATTTGTAATATATACTAACTATGTGTACATGTTACTGTTGTATATCATTTATCTTCTACAGTTTGTTTTGTCCTTTGGTCATTGTTGGCGGTGTTTGATTAATGATTCATTGGTTATCAAAATACATTGTAATGCAAATATTTGTAAAATGAATTTGTATTTAATTTGTTATGATTGATACAGTAACAATTTTTCTAAGAAAAACATGTGTGTTACCCTCTAGATTTCTTCTGTGTTGTTGGATTGCTGTCTCATTGACCTATCACATTTCCTGTTTATCTTATTGGAAGTAAGTTAAATATCTCATTACCCTTTGTAAGAGAGAGTATAGACAGAAAAACACTGGATGAATCATTCATAGACTGGTGTCAAAAAATGTCCAGGTTCGAATTCTTGTCTAGGACATTTCAATGTTGTACTTGTATAAGTCACAACATGATTTAACATTGAATGTCTCTGACAGACCTTTCATTTGATACATGTATATTCAATTACATAAATAGATTGGTATATTTTTATGTCACACGTAGTTTTTGAGAGAAAACTTGGACAAGTAAAAGTTGGAATAGGACATATTGGAAAGACACGATCCCTTTAAATGTACTATACATGAAGGAAAAAATAATTTAAACTCTGTGATCAAAATTTTGCAGAGAAATTCTGAGTTTTTATACCCAACAATAAGCATCAACATAAAAATTCATGGCGGACGCATCAACAATATGTTAAAGTTTGGGATTAGGTCAGTTTGAGGTAGCCACTAATAGTAAATCAATGACATACATGTATATATACATACAACTTTTAAATTAGTGCATGTACAATGTATTGTAAATAAAATTACACAGTCACCATCAAAATTTTTTTTGACAATTTTGGGGCTCAAAGGTTAATTGTAAGACCAATTTGATGAATATTTGTTTCTTCATTTAGTCAAATTTTTCCCAGTTTTCACTATATATTATCTATATAAGATTATAAATTTGTTTCAATTTCCCAGCTTTGACTAGACAGAATAATATATTTTGGTAAATAATTATAACATATGTATATATGAAGTCCAGGATGAAGGGAGTCACCCTACATGTATATGTGATATCATATGGATATATGATATTGATTATGAATTTAAAGGGTTTAATTTTCCAGACCATAAAAACTTTTGTTCTGAACAAATTTACTTACTGATAGGGACTAGCAATGAAAAACACATAACTGGCACAGTATGAGACACCAAATAGATAATGATCACTTTAAATGTGAATTGAACTGGAGAAGTCCTAAACCAGTGATGATTTATTAGGCCCATGATGGGTTCTTTACTTGGTAACTTGTTTTTATTTACATATATATATATATATGCAAGTTACATACTTTGTATATGAAAATAAGAAGATGAGGTTTGATTGCCAATGAGACAACTAGCCACCAAAATACCAGTATTTGATCCTTTACATGCATATTACTGTTTACATTATTAAGGCCAAGACACATCAATAACTGCTCAAAGATCAAATTGTTTTCCATCTAAACAATGATTCCCAGGATAATAGTAATGTCAATTTAATGATGAATTTCAGAAATTTAAGCTGATATGAGATCTATCTTGTATTAGGTGATTCAGATCAAAACATGTACAGATATCTCTTGTCTGTGATGACTGGAGTGGTTCCTATTGGTATAGTCAGTACTTGAAGATTACGGTACTTCAAGAATACTTTTTTCAAGATTACGTTTTATAGTGGTACTTGTTCATGATAATTTGGTTTTTAGATTGCAATTCTGTCTATCATTGGGGGTACTGTTTGTGAGTGTTGGAGAATGACATCAGCATTTAAAAAAACACCTGATTAGTAAAATGTAGTTCAGTGTGTCCAGAAAATCAATATTATAATCTAAGATAAACCAGTCATTGCTCTTACTCCTTAATTCTGCATGCTTAGTGGAAATGCAGTAAATATCAAACCCTCAACCTCCTTCACCCGAGGCTAGATATTGATGCTACCATTAGACATACTAGGCAGTTATGACTTTAAGAAGTTATCATCCTTAATATGCATGTAATGTATTTGTCACTCTTTGTTAAGCGTCCATCAGTCGATCATGGAACAGATTGAAACTATGGTAAAAAGACAATCCTTATAGTTCATACATAATGTTTATAACTGAAGTATGAATGAAATAACACAAGAATTGAAACTTTCAGTCCCTATCTTGGTTCTTATCTTGTTGAAAATTGGCAAATAAAATCTTTTTGTTACGTAATCATTTCAACATTTTATTTGCAGACTGCTTGCATTTAATATTTAAGACAAAATGAAGTAGTTCAAATTAAAACAGTGAATCAGAACTAAGCTAACATTGTAATAATAAAATACATGTGAAAAGCCCTTACAATATATTCTAATCAATGAGAGGTAAACAACTGAAGTGGTTTTCATGGAAGACAAGTCTACTTGTACATCTCTTTATAAGTGGTGCAATGATAAAAATGTATGACTGACTTACTTCTGCTTTCGGAAATTTTGCCACACAATTTGGATACTCAGCCGCCAAGTTGATTTGTACGATTTTGTTGTACATGTATGTGTGTGTTATAAATATCATATATGGTCTCGTTACCAAAATAATAGCCATCGAAAATTTAAGGAAGATAATCGTAACTCCAAAAAAAAGATAATATGGTAACTTGTGGACAAATCACTTGAAAGATAATCGTAACTGCAGATTATTTCAATGATAATAGTTGCTGATTTTGATAAAAAAAAAAAGATTGTGTAATAATATCAACGAACGTGATAGTGCTACAACATTTTTTTTGTTCACCCCATACCTCAATAGACGACTAAAATATGATATGAAATTATTATGCACACAACTTTTCCAATCTTTCCAACACAAATTTGATCATTTTATAAGCCTGAATTTAGATTGTTTACAAATTTATGCATAGAAATGAATCAGAAATTTATAGTTGTTTAACTTTCAAAATAAAAGTAAGAAGATGAAGTATGTTTGCCCATGAGACAACTTAATAATCCACCAGAGACCAAAATACATAGATATAAGCAACTACAGGTAATTGTACGGCCTTCAACAATGTGTAAAACTCAGAGAGAGCAAATGGCAACCACTAACTTACAGTCTCCTGACTTGGGACAAGCGCGTACAGAATGTAGCAAGGTTAAACATGCTTGTTAGCACTCTCCTCCTTCTTTTTAAGAAGAAGCATCCCTTGTATTCCCAGATTTCTTATTCTTTCTGTAGGCTCTCTTCTATGTTTTGATTAACCTTCTTATATCTGCCCCCCAAAACATCACAAGGGTGAATAGAAATACAGTGTATGGACACCCTTAGTCTTCTTCCGACCAGCAGTAAAAACCTTGCCAAAGTGGGGTGTCCGTTTCGGCTTGTTGGATGTATAAATACACAGCCACATCCCGGGTTAGAATGGGGACGTTAAATCCAATGCCTCATGTATAGTATGCCACACTCTCTTCATGTAGAACCCTTACAATAACTCTTTGAGGGGTCCAAAGGTGATCTTTTGCAAGGAAAAATAGTCTCTTCCCAACTTATCCTCATTTTCCAGTGGCAGTCCAAATTTCCCAACCCACCAGACTTTTAACAACCAACAATCAATCAATCAATCTACTTATCCGCTGTCATAAAGAGTAAATTAGTTTAAGATAACCATGTATTCACTAATTCTGGTAACACTACCTTTTAAGCAATATTTAGATATAGTCGCCGTCCCCGGCCACCAACAGATAAAATTACGATTATCACTGATAAATTACTATTTTCATGTCCAAATTACTACTATCTGGTAGTCGAAGTTACTATTATCATATCATATCAAATTTCTTGAGTTACAATTATCTTTCTTGAATTTTCTATGGCTTTTATTTTTGTAACAAGGCCATATATGATATAAAGAAAATGCACACACACCAAAACCGAACAGATCAACCTGGTGGCTGAGTTATTCTTTAAAACAACACATTTACATGGAGAAATTAGCAGAAAATGATTTAATTTATTTCTACCTCCGCCATATTGGGATCGTGGTAACTGCAGTTACCATGATCAGTTTAACACCAGTGCAATAGTTACATGTACATGCACATGTACAAAACCTCTGTTCTTTTAAAATCAGGCTGGTAATATACATTGTCGTAAGTACTTGCATCTAAATACATGTACATTTGATTTGTAAAGATGCGTCATATTTAATTGACCTTGAATCCAAGGTTTGATATGAGACTTAGTTTTCAAAAGGAAGTTTTTTTCCACAGAAATGTTACTATCGAAGTAATACAATATACTAATGAGACTTCCTGATGTAGTTTTGATTGACAATGATTCAATAAAAAACTAATTGTGTTTGTTCCACTGTCTTGGGAACTTGATAATATATGATCACTAGTTTGACATTTACAGAGAAACTCTTTTCCAATTCTTGTTGATTTCCATTACTAATGATATGGACAAAAGACATTTTCTGGTGAACGATAATTGATTTGAGACTAGCAGACAAACTGTTACTGGGATAGTATGATAATCTACAGTTATTGATTCCCAAAGTTTGTTGAAAAGAAACTAGTAATGCAAGTTAAGTATAGGAAATAATAATAGTTTACTTAGGTTGATTCTATGTTTGACAACATATCAATCATTCTTTTAGAGATCTTTCCCACATTTGTACACTGAAAGGCAAAATAAAATTTCCCATCATGAAAACCATTTCATTTAATGCCTTATTTGTGCAAAACTCTATAGCTAGATGCCAAATGTTAAGATTTGATAGATCTGTAAGTTTTCACATTTTATGATACATTTTTTTATCAATTTTAGTTGTCAAATTTTAGGTACATTGTAACTATGACCTATATTTCAGTAAGTATGGTAGTACCATTGGGATTTTTATTGGGGATAGGTCATTTGGTTGAAATTATTGGTCATATACATGTATATCAATGATTGTTCATCACAAATTAGTGTTCTCCAGACTTCTCTAAATCTATTTTTCCCTGGTGGTCCTTGAAGAAAATCTGCTGGTCCTCACAAACATATTTCTATTGCAAAAATACCAAATTTTTGTTATTCCTTTTCACGCATAGATTACTATTTCATGACATAGATTTCTTGTTAGATTGACTTAAAATTTAATATGAATGCTTTAAAAGCTATTGTTACTAAACTCAGCACAGATACAACAATTACAATTTGGTACGCCAGACACACGTTTCAACTACAAAAGACTCGTCAGTGATGCTTGAATCAAAAAAGTTAAAAAGACCAAATAAAGTACGAATTTGAAGAGCATTGAGGACCCTCAATCACTTGGCGTCCGTCGTCCGTCGTTGGCGTTAACTTTTTACATTTTGAACTTCTTCTAGAGAACCACTGAATGGAATGAAACCAAACATGGCATGAATGTTCCTTATGAGGTGCTCACCAAGTGTTGTTACTTTGTAGCCGATCCATCATCCAAGATGGCCGCCATCGGGGAACTTAGTTTAACATAGGACCCTATGGGAAATACATACAAATGTCTTCTTTTAGAGAACCACTGAATGGAATGAAACCAAACATGGCATGAATGTTCCTTATGAGGTGCTGACCAAGTGTTGTTACTTTGTAGCCGATCCATCATCCAAGATGGCCGCCAGCGGGGGACTTAGTTTAACATAGGACCCTATGGGAAATACATAAAAATGTCTTCTTTTAGAGAACCACTGAATGGAATGGAACCAAACATGGCATGAATGTTCCTTATGAGATGCTGACCAAGTGTTGTTACTTTGCAGTTGGTCCATCATCCAAGATGGCCGCCAGCGGGGGACTTAGTTTAACATAGGACCCTACGGGAAATACATACAAATGTCTTCTTTTAGAGAACCACTGAATGGAATGAAACCAAATATGGCATGAATGTTCCTTATGAGGTGCTGACCAAGTGTTGTTACTTTGCAGTCGGTCCATCATCCAAGATGGCCGACAGCAGGGGACTTAGTTTAACAAAGGACCTATGGGAAATACATACAAATGTCTTCTTTTAGACAACCACTGAATGGAATGAAACCAAACATGGCATGAATCTTCCTTATGAGATGCTGACCAAGTGTTGTTACTTTGTAGCCGATCCATCGTCCAAGATGGCCGCCAGCAGGGGACTTAGTTTTACATAGGACCCTATGGGAAATACATAAAAATGTCTTCTTTAAGAGAACTAATAAATGGAATGGAACCAAATATGGCATGAATGTTCCTTATGAGATGTTGACCAAGTGTTGTTACTTTGCAGCTGATCCATCATCCAAGATGGCTGACAGCGGGGGACTTAATTTAACATAGGACCCTATGGGAAATACATACAATTGTCTTCTTTTAGAGAACCACTGAATGGAATTGAACCAAACATGGCATGAATGTTCCTTATGAGTTGCTGACCAAGTGTTGTTACTTTGCAGTCGATCCATCATCCAAGATGGCCGCTAGGGGGAGGGGCTTAGTTTAACATAGGACCCTATGGGAAATACATACAAATGTCTTCTTTTAGAGTACCACTGAATGGAATGAAACCAAACATGGCATGAATGTTCCTTATGAAGTGCTGACCAAGTGTTTCTACTTTGTTGCCGATTTACTGTTCAAGATGGCCACCAGGATATTTTATTAAATAACGGGACCAATATTAATCAAAATTTGGCCTCAATCATTATTTGGGTATCTGTTATGATTTTTATCTATCTTTACATGATTTCTAAAACCAAAGTAGAGTCAGGTGAGCTACACAGGCTCTTGAGAGCCTCTAGTTATGTAGTGAAGTGACCTCGATGGCTTAGTAGTCCAAATAGTTCATCTGCAGCTGTCATCACTTACATGTCAACACTGCAGCATGAAGTTGTGTGTTTGAACCCCCATATTATCTTAATAGATTAGGATCTACCAGTTTTCCTGATGGCTTCCTCAACCTATTAAAAGTTGACCACAATGATATTGCCATGTGTGCAAAAAGTGGTGTTAAACACAATAATCAATCATGTTACTGTAATTGAAAACTTTTGTGGCATCCATGTCTAATTGACACTTCTAATATTTTACTTTGTTGTGTGTAGGATTCAGATTTTCATGTCGTGGATACATATATAAAGAACAACCTTTAAAACATTCATGTAATCATAAGTTTAATCACTTTTATGGCTGTGTCATTTAAATGTTGGGAGATTTATAGTATAACAAGTCTTTGAAACTGAAGACATATTCTCGAAATCAATATGTATTTTCCGGTGAAAGATATAGATTAAAAGGCGCGTTTTTCAGACATGTTTCCATAACTCATTGTAATTTTCAATTGGATGCAGTTTAATTAAAAAGACTTTAAAGATAGAGCTTTGCATGGATTTTCTCTAATGGATGCAAGACTGAAGTTGCAAAATTCAATATCGCACCAATTGTTTTAATTGATCAATTCTTTCTGTCAGATTGGGTTTTTAATTTGAAATGAAATTTGTCAATCCAATTTTATTGAAATTGACAGTTTGAGAATATTGAATCCAGGATAAATGGAACAACTCTTAACAGTTCATGCATCATTTGTTATGCAAATTAATGCTTTTAAATAAATTAGATGTTTTTAAAATTTTGTTATAAGAATTCTGGATGAGCTTGGAACTATATTCATTTTTGAATCCAAAAAAAGATAGAATACATGTAGGTTACTAGTTGTTAGTACAGTTCAAATGAATATGTCATTCATACATATGTACATTGTACTCTTTGATTAATCCAGTACTTTCGAACCAGTTGCTGCAGTTTTTGAAGAAGAGAAAAACACAAGGAAAGTCAGCTTTCTATTGTGAAATAGTACACATATAGGAAACTGATGTTTGAAGTCGATTATTTATTTGAATTGAATGGCAGGATGTCTTCACATTTTACATAGAATGTCATATCTGATTTTCACAAACTGGTCATAGTTCGTTTGTTTCATTATTTACAGTGTGTAAGCTTTTGTCAAAGGTTGTAGGCAGTTTTAATGTGATAGTCATCTACAATAATTAAATGTAAGAGTTGATCGATTAAGTATTTAAATGGGTTTAAATGAAAGTTTATTTGTAATTCTTATTCTAAACTTTCAACACCTAACTGATACTTTTATATTTTTTAATTAAGTTGTATTTTTCAGTCAGTGTGACAAATTCGGCTAAATATTCCACAAATTAAGGTCAAGCTGTTCAAGTTGTTTTGTATTGTTGATCAGTTGTAATTGTTGATGTCAGATATAAGTTGTGATTCTATATACCGGTACTGTAAATCCAGAAATTATTGCGAGGTTTTTATTATGCCCCTGCTGCTAGGCGAAGGGGGCATTAAGTGTTACCCTTGTTCATCCCGTCCGTCGGTACATCCCCAAAATTGGTTTCTGTTCTCTAAATTAGATTTGCCTCAACCAAATGTTATAAAACTTATACACAATGCTTATTACCACAAAACCCAGATCAAGTTAGAATTTGGGTGGCATCACTGTTAATGTTATAACGTTATATACAAGGGGGGGGGGGGGGGCATCATCTGTGTCACATGGACACATTCTTCATTTATTATTGTGAATTTTGCGACTGAGTGATAATCACAATAATGAGAACTCGCATTCTGATATCTGATACATATATCTGTATGCAGATTGTCCTGAAATCGCAATATTAAACCTCACATTTTTGTCCTTTTCTTCAAAAATCGCAATAATAAATGCATGCAATAATTTCTGAATTTACAGTACTTAATTAGAATCCAGCCATCTATACTCACTGTTCAATTTAGCTTAGCTGCTCAAGCCATTTTACTATACTGAAATGTGTACCTTCTAATCCACATTCTATTACATTATCTGTACCTTAGATGCAATAGATTACACAGATCAAAATCTTCTGCACACGATTGCCAAATCCATTGTTATGCAATGGCAATTGGTATGGAAAAGCAGACAAAAATCTGCTGTACATGATACCCAAAACAAATGTTTTTTGTTAGCGGTTTATAGGGGGAGTAATGATCAGTTGACATAAAAGCTAAATAAGTAACTTCTTTCTTGCAGACCACTGGACTTAAGCAAACAGAAATCAATCTTTGTTAAGTTAAAGTTACGTTTTTCTAGGTTACACTTGAAAGATGGAATATAAAAATTTTACAATTATTTTCAATCGTCTTCATCAGTACTTTAGAAATTAAATTGTGTTTCAAGGTATTTAGTTTATGTATATGCATTTGCAGGAGTTTTATTTCTTTATTTGAATATCGTCCATATTCATCGTCCATATTCTTATAATGGGTAAATATGGTCTTTTGGTAAAAATGTTAAAATGTTATTGCCCTAATTATGCATGTAATATTTTCCGATATTGCTGTGATACTAATATTTGCCACTGGACATTCAGCAGCCATCAATCAACCTTACAGAATTTAAATTTTAGATTTAGAGGTCAAAATTTTATTAAGGAGACTACTGCCATTTTTCAATTGACTACAAAGTGACGGTTTTTAAAAAATTCTTTTTCAGTTTGGTTAGTATTATGTTAAAAAGAGAGCCATCAGAAAGAGCGAGTTTAGAGGAGATTTTATGTCATGATTGGTTACATATGCAAATGGAAGATATGCCACCAGCCGCATTGCCACTGATATCACGCGAACATCTGTCTGAAGAAGATCATAATTACTTGGTGGAAAAAATGGTGGAGGGAGAAATCGGAACAAAAGATGAAATATTAAAGTATGCTTCTATCTATGGTATATTAAAAATAATGCATAAATGATTGTCATAAATCTTATTCATTGCTTCAGATTGTTAATCATGCTAATTAAACAGTTACATGTATAATAGATTTGCAATTGTTTAATACATCATAACATGTATTTCAGCAAATGAGAATTGATTCTGTAAATTGCTTTCCAAATGCTCTTTGGTTCAGACTGAGCAGAAAATATTGTGTATTGTAAACTGTCCTTTTAATGTCTTAACATTGGATAATCTAGAAAACATATAGACATTGTATGACTGTCCAGGGGAAAACTGGTTTCTTATCTTCTGAAAATATTAGTACGCAGGAATTTATGGATATATTTTATAATTTATTTCTTTCGGTTTTCAACAATTTCTGCATACAACTCCCATAGGAAATTTGTATTTTTAAACTCTTAAACACTTTGTTTACCTAGATAATTATATACCAATCAAAATTTGTGCCTAATGTATAGTTATGAAACTAACATTTGTAATGAGTTAACAGGCAGTAAAAAGCAGGTTAAGCTAATGTTGGTGCAGCCTCACTTGTGATGAGGAAATGATTTTTTTTAGTGAAATTGGCTTTCTGTTTGTAGGTCTATAGAAAAAGATGAGTATAGTCATATAACAGCAACATACTACCTGTTGGCAGAGAGAAAGTTAAAGCAACATCGGCAAGAATTACAGAACTCACTGTCACAAATTAGGAAACTCTCAGCTCCATCTAGTGGTAAACCACATTTGGAACCCCTTGCTCTTTCACCTCGGTATGTGTTCTAGTGTAAAGTGCTTCATCTATGGTTTTATTTATATATTGTGAAATGTTGTTTCATCCTTGCTATCTTTTGTATTCTGTGGAAAAATAGTTTTAAAGTAGTTTTTAGCTCTTTCTCAGTGATGAAAACAGAAGGCACTTGTAAATTTATTTTTTATATCATGAAAGATAAATAGTAGTATGAATTTTTGTGTCTGTAGTAGATTAAAAAGAAATCAGTCTGCAAACACAAAATGTCATGGAACAAAGATCAATGTCTTGTAATCATGGTTGTCTTGTTTAAAAAATATGCTTTGAATGAAAAATGTTTGCCACATTGTATAACCAAAGATTTATCTGTCTGAACTTTGAACTTTTTCCACAGTGAGATTGTTGGTCCCTTTTTTTATACGACCGCAAAAAAATTTTTGTGGTCGTATATTGGTATGACGTTGGCGTCGTCGTCGTTGTCGTCGTCGTCGTCCGAAGACACATTGGTTGTCGCACTCTAACTTTAGTTTAAGTGAATGGATCTCTATGAAATTTTACCACAAGGTTCAATACCACAAAAGGAAGGTTGGGATTGATTTTGGGGGTTATGGTACCAACAGTAAAGGAATTAGGGGCCAAAAAAGGGCCAAAAATAAGCATTTTTATAACTTCCAGACATAACTTGTGTGTTAGTGTATGGATCTCTCTGACATTGTTCCACAAGGTTCCATATCACAAAAGGAATGCTGGGATTGATTTTGGGGGTAATTGCCTCAAAATATTAGGAATTAGGGGCCAAAAAAGGGGCAAAAAACCAAGCATTTTTCTAGTTTCATGACAATAACTTGTGTGTAAGTGCATGGATCTTTCTGAAATTGTACTACAAGGTTCCATATCACAATGGAAAAGCTGGAATTGAGTTTGGGGGTAATTGCTGAAACGTTTAGGAATTGGGGGCCAAAAAGGGGCCAAAAAACACATTTTTCTAGTTTCCAGACAATAACTTGTGTTCAAGTGTATGGATCTCTCTGAAATTGTACTGCAAGGTACCATACCACAAAGGGAAGGCTGGGATTGATGATTGGGGTAATTGCCTCAATATTTTAGGAATTAGGGGCCAAAAAGGGGCAAAAAACAAGCATTTTTCTAGTTTCAGGACAATAACTTGTGTGTAAGTGTATGGATCTTTCTGATATTGTACTACAAGGTTCCATATCACAAAGGGAAAGCTGGGTTTGAGTTTGGGGGTAATTGTCCTAATTGTTTAGGAATTTGGGGTCAAAAAGGGGCCAAAAAACACATTTTTCTAGTTTCCAGACAATAACTTGTGTTCAAGTGTATGGATCTCTCTGAAATTGTACTGCAAGGTACCATACCACAAAGGGAAGGCTGGGATTGAGTTTGGGGGTGATGAATCATAATGGGGTTCAAAAATTTTTTAAGGGGGGGGTTTTCCTTTTTTTTCTTTTTTTCCTTTTTTTTTCTTTTAAAATTTTCCATTTTAAGTTGGTTATTTTTGATTTATATTTAAAAGCAAATAATAATGATATGGTAGGAGATACACACCAAACAGGATGTGTAAATTATTATTATATAATAAGTATTGTGCAATAGCAAGAAATTTTCAATTGCACAGTATTGCACAATAGCAAGAAATCTTCAATTGCACAGTATTGCGCAATAGCAAGAAATCTTCAATTGCACAGTATTGCGCAATAGCAAGAAATATCCAATAGCACAATATTGCGCAATAGCAAGAAATTGTCAATTGTACAGTATTGCGCAATAGCAAGAAATATTTAATTGCACAGTATTGTGCAAAAGAAGATACTTCGTATAAATTGCTTATTTCTTGACCAATTTCAATGGGGTTTTATTCTTGAATTCTTGGAGTTCTTTAATATGCTGAATCTAACCGTGTATTTAGTTTTTGGATTTTGGGCCCCGTTTTTAAATTGGTCCACATTGAGGTCCAAAGGGTCCAAAATTAAACTTTGTTTGATTTCATCAAAAATTGAATTATTGGGGTTCTTTGATATGCCGAATCTAACCGTGTATTTAGATTCTTAATTTTTGGTTCCGTTTTCAAATTGGGCTACATTAAGGTCCAAAGGGTCCAAATTAAACTTAGTTTGATTTTAACAGAAATTGAATTCTTAGGGTTCTTTGATATGCTGAATCTAATCATGTATTTAGATTTTTGATTTTTGGGCCCCGTTATCAACTTTGTCCCCATTGAGGTCAAAAGGGTCCAAAATTAAACTTTGTTTGATTTCATCAAAAATTGAATTCTTGGGGTTCTTTGATATGCTGAATCTAACCATGTATTTAGATTTTGGATATTGGACCATAATAGGTGAATGTCCAATTTAAAATTTTTAAGTTCTTAGACCACATTCATTCTGTGTCAGAAACCTATGCTGTGTCAAATATTTAATCACAATCCAAATGCAAAGCTGTATCAAGCTTGAATGTTGTGTCCATACTTGCCCCAACTGTTCAGGGTTCGACCTCTGCGGTCGTATCAAGCTGCGCCCTGCGGAGCATTTTATTATTTTATCCAAAAGAATTTTTCAAACCAGACGTTTTTAATTGGGAAATTTTGTTGAATTTCAGAGGTAAATCAAAATTTTTGCCACGTCAAATCAGCAAAGTATTAGAAGATGCTTAAATAACATGTAAGATCAAAGTATATGCGATTGTTTCAATTTAATATGAATGTGTATTATAACACTGTTTGGAAATATAATACATCTGCTGTTTTCTGTTTTGATAACTTAGAACTGATTTTTCATTTGAAATAATCTTTCTGCATATAAGATTTCAGTAATGAATACAGCTGGAATAAGAGAATTAGTCCTTAAAATGATGTAAATGCTCATTATTGAGAAATATTGATATTCAATTTTGGTGCAATTCCAGTACTCTTGTATCATAAAAGGAAATGAGAATTCAATAATTAGTGTCCTTGGCCTGAAGAAAATTTGATTGAAAATGTGGCTAGAATATTATTAAGACTGTTTCATCTTTATTGCTGACACAGACATTTTACATCACATAGTAATTCATATAGTAGGAAAGAAAGTAATTGGAAAATATGTTCAGACATTCACTTCTAAGCAATATCCATTAATGATGCTGACAAGTCAATACATGATGATGATATTTGAATAGGAGTTTGACCATGCCAATAGCCTAAGTTATCAATAAAGCCGATAATAAACCAAAATAGTTAGGACCACTGTCCTTCTTTCTGTGCATTTTGTGTTTGTTGGACAGCAGACGATATTGTTCATTTCTTTCTTAAGGTTTCTGCTTGATGGAATACCCTTATAGCCAACCATATTAGTATATACACGCATATATATTGTTCTTAAGGGTTGTTTTTAATTGAAGCATACATGTTACCCAGGAAGACATTGTAAAAATAGGGTCACACCCAATATTGAGTCCTGCATACATTTTAAGCTTATAGAGCATAATATTTCAAACACACCTATACACATGTATTGATTGGAAAATTCAAGTTGTCTTACCTGGGTCTTATGTATGTTTTTATGAAACCCCGCTTAGTCTGACAATTATTATTCCAGACATTATTACAAGTATTAATAAATATATGTTTCTTTTAAAACTGGCTGAATGTACATTAAAACAAGTTAAGACTATGAATAACCAGATAATTAAGTTATATTTTCAGTGGATATATGCATCTTATGAAATAATTTTCCTGACTTTTAATAGATGACTTAGGCATATTATTTCGTAAGATTTTCTAATTTTGCACAAATAGTCACGATTGCATAAAGTATAAACTATTTACATATTTTATTATCATTTTTGAGCCATTTAGCAGTGCTATTAATTATTTCAGTTTTCTTCTAGCTTTGGTATGACTTGGTGCTAGGAATTCTGTTTGTTTATCACAATTCAATGAAATAGATATATGCAAATCACATAATCTTGTTGAGACTTGACTCATAAACCCTAATACATAATAAATCAAATTACTTCAATCAAACAAAATTTATATATTCTCTTGGTTATTGAATTATGTCAAAGTTGATCAAAACTATTACAAAGAGAACTAGTTTTCTATGTTTGGTTTCAATTAATTACTTTTTGGGAAACGACCTGTTAATAATGAATGTTTTGCTAATGACGAAGTTAAATATAAAAAAAAAAACGAAATAAAACACAAACGCTTAAGTGGCCTTTAATGGCCTCTATTAATAAAGTGATTTTGACATATTTTTATTTCATTCAGATTTTCACACTCATACATATTGTATCTCATTTCATACTTGCTTTATATTTTTTTTTACTTTTTCCACTTTTTCAAAGACCAGAGATACATGTACCAGGGAATAGACTGTTGAACTGTCTTTTAAGTCCAACCTTTGAAGAGCCAGTTAGTTCACCCCAATCAGATTCAAATCAAAATTCTTTCGTCAAAAGTTTGTCAGGAACTATGACTCTTGATAGAAAGTCCTCTAAAAGAAAGAATAAAATTAAACCTCCAGGATCTAATCGATCACAAAGGAGCCCAAGTCCCAGGAGTATTTTTCGCAACTTCCAGCCAACCTTGGGAACTATTCATGATGCAGGACTTTCTCAGTCTGAGGAATCCCTTGTCACTAAAGGAGTTGGAAAAAGGGGTCAGCTACCATTGACGAAAATTCAGATTCTTAAGCAATTCTTTGAGAGAAAGGTGGCCGAACTTGTTGGAAAAACGTCCACTGCTGAAAAAAGGACTAACCTGTTTAAAAAGGTCACCTCTTCAAAGAAACCAAGTTCTGAGTAAATATTTTTGGCATGCTATGTTTTTTAGTGTCGAAATTGATTACGATTCATTTTGGGTTTTATTTTAAGGCTTTTCACAATAACCTGCATGTCATGGTTCAATGTATTTGGTTTATTTTTGGACGGAAGATTATTATTTTGGATATTTTTTATGCCTCTCCATCTTGTTTAGGTGAATGATAAAAGCATGATTTAATAGCTTTGTTTACTTCCTATTGATTCGGATATCAATCTTGTTATGGCTCTAGATAACAAGGAATGGCTTTATTTCTTCCTCAACCTGCCTGCTTCGTTTGCATGGATCAGTTGATCACAGTTGACTTCATCATTGGTAATCAAGTGTTTTTACTAAAATTACTATGTTCTTGCTAATAGGGTATGGCTTATTTGTCAAAGCGTTTTGCAATTACATCTACAGAAGTATATAAATAACATGTTACCGTGTCAGATAAGCAGTGGAAATGAATGAAGAAGTAAAAATATAAGATCAGTTGGCAAAATTGCAAATTAATGATGTAAAAATTAACAGTTTTTATGCATTTTTTAATGCATATTTATACAAATAACAATTTGCTAAGCTATAAATGTTTAACTTGGTTTGTAGACAAGCTTTTACTTGTTACTTGCATTTCCGTAAGATTTGAACATTTATATAGGAGTACTGATCAACGTTATTCATGTTATTCAGTCTTTTTTTCTGACAAAAACAAACCTGGTTTTGAAGAACAGGGAAAGAATTTTTCTCATGTTTACATGTAGCTGTAGGATTTTGATATGGGTACTGATTAATATTATTCATTAATTTTTTAGGCAAAAACAGAATGACATAGAATTTTATCTTTCAGCAGTGAATGTTTTTGAGAACCTGGAAACCTAATTTCTAGAAAGACATGAAAAAACCTTACTATAGATTTTAATATTTCAGTATTTTTGTATAAAATGGACAAGAAGAAGCTGTGAGAAACTCTGGTCTTTTATTTCAGTTTTCTGTATGATTTTCCTCAGAAGAAAAATTAAATCATACTAAAAGAGATTTAAACACTTAATATTTTCAGCATTCTATTTCTCTTTCAGTATTTTATTTCTTCAAAATTGTTATACTTTCGATATAATGGCTTTTTTTTTCATTTTCTTCCATTATTCTTAAAGGGCCAAAGCACGTAGTGTTAGTTGCCAAGAAAATTGTTCAGCTTGTGGAAAAATGAAATGCGATTGGTAATGACAACTTCATGTAGCTTTCCTTGTCATGTTGCTTAAAAAGAAAGTAGAATTGGGAGATGGTTTTCATGTCTCACCCCTAATGTTGCTTAAAAAGAAAGTAGAATTGGGAGATGGGTTTTCATGTCTAACCCCTAATGTTGCTTCATTTTTTGACATTATGCAATAAGAAAAAAAATAGATGTAGGGCTATGGAAAAAATCAAATATTTGCTTTCAGCACACTGTCCAATAGCTTAGTTGTCTCCCTTTGAAAAGTAATCTTATACCTATTAACGTCCTCACTTAAGCTCTACCTTGTAATTGTATTTTGTGCAGTGCTATAGATAGAATATACTAATACTTACTACATGTATTTAAGATATATAACGTTTATTCGAAATGTTTGTTCTATTTATAACTTTTGTTAAATATGAAATGCCAATTAATTATTCCCCACTGCAAATGATAAACTGAGGTTATGAAAATGCTGGGTGTTCATATGATATCATGAGCTCATTCATGCTTACATGCTTATGTCAGGATTTCAGAGATATGATCTTTGTCTACAAGAGAGATATATCTTACCAGTATTCCAACGAGACGGGACGGCAAAGTAGTGCCACTTATTATTCTTGGTTAACAAAATGAGTTCAACTGTAAAATTTTCTTATGACACTTGGAAATCTTAATTGCTAGGAATATAGTTCATGTCCCTCCTTGTTTAGGAATATTGGGGCATTTGGTAATTTTGCAAAAACCTTCTTGTTTGGCCTACATTATCAGTCTCTAACCAAAAGGGTAAAAGTTATTTGATTTAAACTTTAAATGTCTTTGATCCAATAAAGCAAATAAAATGCATCCCTTATCATTTAAACTACAAATGAATTTTAATTTAAAGAAAAGAATCGACGTACTACATGTACTGGTATTTAAAAGTGTTTTCGTGATATATAAATGTTCTTTATTTTGGGAAGAATGTAAAGATTGGCAAAAGTACTCATCAGTATACTGATGCCAGCACTGAAGAAACATTTTGTTGAAGGTTCAGTTTGTCTTTGTTCATTTTCACAAAACTGAAATCATTCGTAAAACATATGGCTGAAAGAAACCCTTTGCTTGTTAAAAACTAAAAATATCCAGAACCTGGAACCATAATTTCTATTATTTATCAGGTTGTTACTAAGGGAATTATTGGTATAAATGTTCACAAGGCACACGTTGCTATTTGATAATGTGACTTTAGATGATATTGATCAGACGACCTCCAATGATCGACCTCTTTCCGTAACGATTTGTCGTCTGATAATAACTGAGTAATGGTGATTAATTGAGTGAAAACTACATCAGTAGCATCCATTTATATTGACATAATTATTGATAATAATAAATATTAAGTAGGAATTGTTGCACAAATAAAATTATTTTATTCATGTGAAAAGTTCAGGATCATGTAGTAGGAGCCGTTAGTTTCTTGACACCTGGAAGTAACAGAATCTAACAACTAATCAAATCATCAGACAGGGTTTCTTTTATTAAATGTGTAGCAAATTGTTCCTTAAAAGGTTGTTAGATAGAAAAATCTGTTTCTTATCGTGTTATTGTCCTTTACTTAATCTGAGTTTTATGTGCGCCATTATAGAAAGTCACTTATTTTGTTGTATCTTTAATTTGATGTCATGAGCAGAAAAGATTGACTATACATTTGAAAAATTTTGTCAGATTTTTGGCACTTAGAAGTTACATTTTCTAAGAGTGAAGGAGCTGTAACAAGCTTTTGATCTGTTGAACACGTTGCTCTTTCTACCACATGACCAAGAACATTCAATGAAAAATTGTGGTTTTAATAAGGCAATAGAATAAGGATTGAGTGGAAAAATTTGTAGAGACAAAATTTTCTTGTTTGTATTGTAAACTTGTAACAAAAAGAAAGATGCATTGTTCTCTCTCAAGAACACAAAGGTTATTTCTTGGAAATACCCATCCCCTTTTCCCAATAAAATGAAATTATATTAATCTTTGCAGAAAATGAAAACAACTTGATACAGTAATAATCAAGATTTTTTACATGTGTCATATTTGTCAGTAGTTAGATAAAATTTCTGTCTGTAAGCTGCATGTCATTATAGCATCAAATTGTTATGGAACTGTGAAGCTATATTTGGCCATTATATTGATCTTTGATTCATGTTAAAAGAATTTGCTTATTTCTCCTGTCACGATTTCTTCTTTATGGAAAATGATTCAACTATAATGATAGGGTGTACTCTAATAATAAGAGGACTATGTATCGAATTAACTTGTAAGAGAAAGGATTGGTGTATATACCTTCATATGTCAATTGAAATAAATGTCATAGGAGTAGCCCCTGCTAAATTTAGTTTGCCACAGGCAAAAGGGGGAGTTGAAATAATGCTGGAGGAAAAATAGCAACTTAAGATAAGAATGAGAGTGAAATTTGAAAAAAAAAAGGAAGTTGCAATAACATTGTTATGTAGAAATGAAGGAGTAGAAAGTAGTTTTCTTTATTATTGCTTACTGAAAATAAAAGGAGGGAAAGTTAAACATAGATAATTTCTTATTTCTGTAAGTCTGACATTCTCAATGTCATCAATTGTGGTATTTGTGAAATCATAGAAAAAGAACTTTAAAGCTGATTAATGGTTAAGATTGGGTTGTGAAAGCCTTTCTGAAAGGAAATGGAAAAATGGGGGTGGGTTTTTTAATGATAATGAAATGAGAAAGGTAAGGGAGAAAAAAAAAAGAATTAGGCATGCCCCTAAATGTTACCTTAGGAAGCTACCATTACTGTCACAGAAGACAATTGATAAAAGATGGGTTCCTTAGGGGCGAGAAAGTTGAAGGAAAAAAGGCCAATGTCTAACAACATTTTTTTTTTTATACAATGGACATAAGTATATAAGATTGGTTTCTTTTAAAGGCTAAATTCAACAAGTCATTTGTATTCCTTATATATTGGTGGAAATGTGTGTACAATACAGAAACCTGTTACAAGCCAGTAGTTTGTCAGATATTGATAAATCAATGCTATAGAAAGACCTGTCAGGAAGGGAAGATAATGTAATGTGACAACAAAGATCTCAGGAATGCATATTCACATGTACATGTGATTACTTTGTTTTTGTTTTCACTGTATGGTATTGTAGAAGTGTATATCAATGCACCCACAACACTAGATGATGGACACAAATTTTGCAAATTTTTGAAGTGGAAATGATCTCAATCAACTGTTATACCCATATTCTGTTAAAGATGATTTGGATTTCAACAACACAAAAATGACAACATTGAGAATTCTTTTCAGTTCAATAGTTCTGTTGGCTTTCTGTTTTTCTGGCTCTGCTTTTAGTCTTCTTTTTTTTAGGGGGGGGGGGGGGGTATTTTCAATCCCCTTTTGTAAAAAAGACCTTAACTTTTGTAAAATATTTGATTTGTCAACAGGGGAAATATTATCTTTTGAATTAGCATTTTATTGAAGATTTGATAATGTCAATACAGGTAGATGTACCGGTTATTATAAAATGAAATATTTACTGAGAAAGCCAAATGTTTTGTTTATTGATGATTTCTTCTGGTTAGTAAGACCAAAAAGACAGAGAAAAGATTTGATTAAGTGTTGGGATTTTTTTAAAGCTAGAGTGATATCTGTTTTCCTGAAAATAAGGTGATGTGTTATGAAAAAAAATCGCAATTCTTCTGTTGTTCATGATTTGCATTATATTGCTCTCCCCACATTAAAAAAAACCCTAAAATGGAAGACTAGAAGTCCTATTGTATTGCTTGTCTAGTTGTTAATACATTTCCAATTTGAAAATTCAGGCATTGTCTTGTGGTTGCTAACTTGATGAACTAGCTTTAGCCATGATAACACTAATACTGTGTCATTAGTATTGTCTCCAAGGTATTCTATATTTGTTGTCGAGGAAATTATAATGGATTTGTTTTGCTTATTATGCCGTCTGTGCAACTGATAAAGTAATGATTGGAAGTGAAATAATAACACCAGAAGATATTATATTAAATATGATATTTTACGTAAAGAACAATTTATCACACCATGTTAACCATCTGTATCATTGAATTCAACACTATATGCCATACCTAGTTGTTTACCAAAAACAACAAATTTAAAATGCTTGCATAACTTATAAAAATAAAGAGATGAGATGTGGTATGATTGCAACTGAGGCAATTATCAACCAAGATGTAAACAAACTTATTTACTTTACTTTTACTTTCAAAATGTCACATATATTAAAATAAGGAAATGAGGTATGATTACCAATTAGACAACTATCCACCAAAGTTCAAATTAGACAAATAAAGTGGATGTAAGCAATTATAGGCAACAGTACAGCCTTCAACAATGAGAAAAACCCATACCGTATAGTCAGCTATAAAAGGCCCCAAAATGAAAAATATGAAACAATTCAATTGAGAAAACTAATGGCGAAATTTTATAACAAAACAATAGCCCAGTTTTATACAATAAACATTTTTGAAGACTAAAACTTTAGACGAAAAAAACCCTGCAATTCATGACCCTTAACCATCATGGCATGTCTGTCCAGTATTAACTGAAATCATACGAGTCAGTGGTTAAATGTAAAATAAATAAAAGTTGTTCTTTGAAGATATTGATATGGAACTTTTATGGGGAATGGATGATAAATTTATGTGGGTTGGCAGCTTGATTTTTGCTATCACTTTGTAAAACTAAGGGCTGTGGGTAGTTGATGTAAGGAGTTAGCTCTGTAGTTCAGGGTTGAAGCCATCCCAGCAATTGGTCAAGATGAATAACCGGTTTATTGGCTGTTCCTTTGACATACTGGTTATCTCCTGGTATTTTAATTGAATCCAACCCATATCTGTATACAGCAAAGTCTTATTGTATGAACGACATATTCAGAATGCATAGGTAATTATAACTATGGCATACATTTGACATAATTATGACAGTACTTTGTAGGTTTCTTTCCCTAGCTTTATACATTGTAG